ATAAATATATATATAATATTTCTAAATATGTATTTCTTTACATTACATATTATATGTTTCTAAATATATATAATACATATTTTGGAATACACACACACACACATAAAAACTCTTATCAGATGGCTATTGTTTATTTCAGATGGGTTAATTGCTGCCTTAAACTGTTGGTGACACTGTAGCATCTACAGATAAAATGCACACAGCACCATTAGGAGTTAGTTTTTGCCTTTCTGTGAGGAGCACTGCATCAGGCCTTAAGTACGTGAGGATGGAAAAGACAAAGCCACCCTGCCAGTAGTGTAGAGTCTAGCTAGGGAGATAAGATAAGATGTACACACAAGAATAAACACTAGCCCAAGATGGTGAGACCCAGGTGCCGACTAAGGAAGTTCTGCGTCCAAAGGAAAGCGATGCTAAGGAAAGAATTAATATTGAGCAGCTACCAGTGTATTTTCTTATTTAAATCCTCACAAGGGTTCCATGGGGTTATATTATCCTCTTTTTGGACCCAAGGAAGTTTCAGCTCAGAGAGGTTAATTTGTCCCAAACCAGTCAAGTGGAGAGCTTGTGTAGGCTCCCTCCATTGCATCATGTTGTCCCATCTAATTAAAAGTTTGTGTTTTCATTAGCTGCTGTCTGTAATGACCCGCCCCAACCAGTTCTTGATTAAATCGTATTAAATTGTGTTCTTGACATCTGTTCTCCATCATGGATTAATAGCACAATGCCTTCAGTTCTACCAAACACTCCCTACATCTGCCATCAAGCAGACACAAGGTTACCTACTTTATCTTAACTACACCTAAAGGGATTGGTATAATTAAGCTTTTGTTTCTGTGTCTTCACTCTTGCTAAGTTAGGCAGACCTTTTGTTTTTGTTGAGATACTTAGTGGTGTTGTATTCTACTACTCCCATTTTTAATGGGGCAAAGCTGTGCCATTTTTACTGTTTGTGCCTCATTTGGAAGTGAGGCTTCAGCTTTCAGTAACCCAGAGCAAGCTGCTGATGTTGGGCCCAGCAGCGTTCAACCTGCTTCAAACGACGACTATGATGCTCTGGCGTTAACACTCCAATGGTGAAGTGGCAAAGGTTGTGATGTTTTCTAGTATTCTTTGGTTGTTCTTTGTAGGAAAGGTGAGATTTAAGTGGGATTTAAAGGTGGAAGAAGAATTAAATCCTTCCATACTTTAGAGATACCTTTTGAGCTTAGCTTGAATTGCCGGAAAATTAAAAACTACACTGATGTAAAAGATGGAGCTTTATAACACAAATAAGAGCATAGTTTACCAGTGCATTACCAATTTATGTGTTATGTTACATCTCTTTATATTTATTATTATTAATGGTACAACCAAACCTTGATGTGATTTTTTTTTTTAATTACTCCTTCCTGAGTAGATTGGCATTTCAAGGGTTTTTAAGCAGTTGCCAACATTTTAATGTTATATTCTAATCATATGATTAACTGTCAATATGTTCCTTGTGCGGAAAAAAGTTTACTTGAGCTGAGTGTTCATTATCTTCACTTTAGAGAGTTTTAAGAAGAAAGGAAATAAAAAAGAGCTTGGCAAGAATGTGGGCTCCTTGCCTTATGTAATCTGGCTTACATCCCACCTCCTGTGGGTAGAGCAGAAAATGGAAGGGAGGAAGATGGTGGTGCTAAACTCCTGCCCACGGCTCCAAATGGAAAGAGGTAGGAACCCATCATGTTTATAAACTTGTGAAAGAAATGGATGGCCATACACTCTCTAAGGCCGTAATTATTGACATTTATGCTCCATGCCTCTGGTGGCTTGTGCATCTTCAATCCCCAACTGCTCTTCAAGAAAGAGGAGCGGTTTATCCTGATCAACAGGCACTGGGATAGAGCCACACAACCCTCATAGTCAAGAAATGAGGCCCAGGACCTGGCTCCCTTTGGGAATTCCATTGCTGGCTTTTACTCTCCAATGTCCTTGGAGGTGGGAGAGTAACAGAGTGTATACTATTAAGTATACGCAAGACCCTGTAGGACTTAGGAAGCCATAAGAAATATTTTCTATGAGTTTATCTGAACAACTAAATCCCTCAGCCCCCTTCTTCCAGGACGGGATGTCCTGGCACTGGCAGGGACCTTGGCCTGAGCATAAAAATGTTTTTGTTTTGTTTTCAATTTGTGTTTTATTGTTTCCTCTTCCTATTTGGCTAAATTCCTAAATGATTACCATAAGCTTTATTTTCAGTGTTCTTCCCTTTTATTTTATCTTAAAAGAAAAGGAATATTGAAAATGGGAAGGCTTTGAAGAATAACAAAGAAGTAAGTGTTGGTTTTCTTGTCCAATCTCCCTGACTCCATAATTTCCATTGACAAAGAAGAGAAGAAGAATGTTGTAAGTGGAGTGAACTATATGAGCAAATAAACAATGAGCATGACATAGAAAGAGCAATGTGAGTAAAGCTTGAAAAGTTGGTTTGGGGACAAATTGTGAAGGCTCTTGAAGGCCATCATAGCTGGAGTTTGGACTTTGTTTCATGGGCAATAGGGAGCCCTCAAGAGGTGAGAGATGTGTCATATTTATCCTTTAAATAAGTGACTTTGGTATCAGTGTAGAGAATGGAATGGGAAGGAGTCCAGAATATCATTTAGGAGGCTGTTTAAATAGTTAGGAGAGATGATGATGGCCCAGTTTTGGTATAAAGCAGTTTTTGTATAAATGGGCCATATTGGAAAAATTATGTTGGAGAAAGTATTCATGAGACTTAGTCATATGAAGGGCAAAAAGATAACTTGGAGGAAAATAATGCCCTAAATTGTGAGCCAGAGACAAAAAGGGCGCCATTAATCAAGAAAGGATTCATTGGAAGAGAGATATTTAGTGTGATTTGTGTTAGTATGTTGCATTCCCCCCCCCCCCCCCCCCCCCCGAGGAAGATTGGCCCTGAGCCAACATCTGTTGCCAATCTTCCTCTTTTTTTCTCCCCAAAGCCTCCAGTACCTAATTGTATATCCTAGTTGTAGGTCACTCTACTTCTTCTATGTGGGATGCCGCCTCAGCATGGCTTGAGGAGTAGTGAGTAGGTCCATGCCCAGGATCCGAACTGGCGAACTCTGGGTCACTGAAGCATAACGTGCGAACTTAACGGCTGCGTCACTGGGCAGGCCCAGATCTGTGGAATTTGAAGTGTCCTTGTGACATCAAAATGAAGACACAGATAGCTAGAATCTTGGAGTTGGGGCTCAGAAAAAAAGTTGAGACTGAAGATGAATATTTGGAAGTCATCACCTATAGTCAAGATAGGTGAAATTTTCACAGTGAATGAGGTTATCTACAGGAGAAAGTATAGCATAGAAGAAGAGGTGGCCCAGGACAGAACCTTGTAACTGAGGAGCTGCCAGGAAACAGACTGAGAAGGAGCTATCTGAGATATTAGGACCACCTTGCAGAAGCCAAGGAAAACTTATTCAAGAAGGAGCAGTTGTTTGGGAAGAACATTCAAAGGAGACACTAATTTCTGACCATAAGGAAGTCACTGGTGGCTTTTTGAGAAGGCAGTTTCCAAGGAATGAGAGGCAGGAATGAGATCCTAGTGGTTGAGAGGGAGAGAAGGATAAGTGGAGCATAAAAACTGCTCTTGGGAGATTTTGTAGTGAAGGGAAGAAGAGAAATGTAGCTTGAAGGGAAGAAGTTTCTATCTGCATAGTTCATTAGTTCACAGAGCATGGTTACATCCACTACCTCACTTGATTCCCAAGACAACTCAGGAGGTAGGAAGGGCAAGTATTGATATGCCTGGGAACAAAATGAGGTTAAAAAGCGGTTAAAAGGTTTGCCCAAGTTCATCTATAGCAGATAAATGGAAGAAGTGAGTTTAGAATTCAGGTCGTTTGACTTTTAATCCAATAATCTTTCCACTGTGCCAAAACAGAGCATCTCTAAAGTGTTTGTTCTATTTGGATATTGGTTACTAGAGGGCACTCAGCTACTTGTTAAGGGGGTTTTGATCTTATCCAGGGGACGAAGGGGAGCAACTAGAAGGTTTGTAAAAGAGAATGCCATGTTTAAGTCAACGCCCAAGGGAGACAAATCTGGCAGTGAGGTGTAGGATGTGTTAGTGTAACAGACAACTCAGGGGGCAGACCATTAAGACAGGGCTTCAAACTGGGACCCAGTTTAAATAAACATCAAACTGCATGCTGAGAAAGTTATTTCCCTTCCAGTTCTGTGGGCCCTCTTTTGTTTGTGTTAAGGAGAGGGTCTTGGTTTACCAGTATCTGTTGACACTCCTCAAATACTCTCTAGTCTCCTTCTTAAAGAGAGAATGGCCTCAAGCTGAGACCATCTGCAAGCAACCGCGTCTTGCTAGACCTGAATTATGTGGCATTGTATTCACTCTATTTTTATGATTACTTTCCAGTTATGACAAGTAGTACTGATTTCTCACTTATAGTTATAGAAAGGTTACTATCAAATACAGGATCCACGAGGGATTGGTTTCAGGACCCCCTACAGATACCAAAATCTGTGGATGCTCAAGTCCCTCATATAAAACGGTGTAATATTTGCATATAACCCACGCATCCTCCTGTATACTTTAAATCATCTCTAGATTACTCATAATACCTAATACAATGTAAATACTATGTAAATAGCTGTCATACTATATCATTTAGGGGATAATGACAAGGAGAAAAAGTCTGTATATGCTCAGTACAAAGGCTACCCTAGTAGACCTTTCAATCTGCGGTTGGTTGCACCTGTGGATGTGGAACCTGCAGATACAGAGGGCCAACTGTACATCTCGATTCATTGTCCAAAAATATGTCACATGTCATGCATAAACCAGTCACTGCAAAGGGGAATCAAATTACCATAACTAACCTAAACTAATTTATTCTCTGATTTATTCTCTGAGCTAGGGATAGAGGTCCTTTCCTGAAGGATAGACTTCTTAACTAAGATAACAGGGGCTCTGTCCACAAATATGGCTAGTAGGCAGTGAACCATGTCTTTTACAACTTATGCCAGTGGTTCTGGAATTCCCCAAATTAACCCTTGAACGTAAGTGGGAAGTTCTTGAGGCTTGTGGTTTTTTATTTTTAAAAATTTCATTTAGCTTTTCTCTCCACGTGTTGGATTAAGGCAGAACGAAATACTTCCACTGCAAAATCAACTTCTGGTTTAGTGATGCACATCGAGGGCGCAATGCGGAATGTCTGAGGAGAGAAAGGAAAACACAGCAATGGATCATCACAGAATCAAATATGACTTCGAGGAAACGCATTAAACTAAGAATCCAAAACCTTGTTTTTATGACATTTCTTAACGCTCCCCACATGGGTTAGTCTCCTCCTTTCTCCCCAATGCTGTATCTAGGCCATTCATCCATCCTGTAAAAATTCTGGTGCCATCTGGCTCTTCCCCTTTTCCTTTTGGTCACCTGCTCACCTCCTGGTCCTTCCACCACCTTCGCTGTGGTCTGAGGTACTTATCAACATTCCATTTCCGCCATCACCTGAGGTCATCTCCATGTTCATGTGTACAACCCAACAAACTACCTTCTCAGTTTCTTGATTGCCACAACTCCCAGAACCTTCATTTCTGCTCCTCTGCATCCATTCACACCCAAGGCCAGCACCATGAGCCGCCTCCTCACCAGGAACAACTCCATATCTGATTCCCATTGCACCTGCCCTTTTCATGAAGATGTCAGTCTCATCATTCCTCCATTATCTTCAGGTTCATCGCCCCACGCAGCTCTCTTGCTTCCTTTCCTACCCTGCTCGGAGCACATGGTGGATTGTCTGAACTACTCTCCCACCTGCCCCCTCACTTACTCTTCCGTCCTTCTGCTGCTGCACCCACGCTGCAAGGTCCCAGCCCTGATCGAAGCTATAATTGAAGTGCTTTGCTCCAACATAGATAGCTGAGAAAATCACTCCCTGGGCAGACTGGCCACTAGATATGCAGGGTCTCTAACTTCTGCTGGTCCCCTAAATTTTTCTTGTCCTCCGTGAGCTTCCTTTTCCATTCTAGACTTTTTTCATTCTTCTCCTCTTCCTTGCTCAACTCCTACGCCTTTCACTCTATTTCATAGACAATCTTGCCTCATGCTTTTCAGAAGCTGTCAGGCAAGATCTTTCTACAAACTTGTTTGCTCCCACCTCCATTCTTATATCCTTGCCTGAAGGTGCAGAGAATGAGGTGTCTCTACTATTCAACTCCAAATTTTCCACCTGTGCCCTTGACACTCCCATCACCTTCTCTCTCGGAAACATTCCTGTGTGCTCTTGCATCTTCAACTTCTCTTCAACTTCCCTTCAGCCTATAAAAAGCAGGCTTAAGGCTCTCATAACCCAAATAAAAATGTGTTGACCCCCTTGGTCCCTTCTAGCTACCGCACAAATGCTATCCTCTTCATTTATCCAAATTTACTAAGAAGACTGGTTGATGCTTATTGGCCGTTATTTTTCACTCTGCCCTCCTTCTGTTCACATCTTAACCCTCTGCAGTCTGGTTTCTGACCCTGTCAACCTTCTGACGCCATTCTAGCTAACGTTGCCAGTGTTCTGCTAAGTGCAGAATCCAATGGGCATATTTCAGCCCTTATCCTTCCTGGCCTTCTCTACTGCATTTGGTCCCTCCCTCTTCCTGGACCTCTCCAATCTCTTGCTTTGGTGACTCCACACTGTCCTAGCTCTTCTCACACCTGTCTGCCCTTTTTTGTCTCCGCCTAGGCACCTTTTCTTCCCCCTGCCCTTTAAATGTTGATGCTACCCAGGTTTCTATCCTCATCTCACAGTACTTTTCATCTAGATGCACTTCCCAGGAGATTTTCCCCTCTCACCACTTACATGCTGATGACTCCCAAATCCCAAATCATGATCTTCACCTCAGTTCTTTCCTCTGACCTACAGACTTGTCTAAAGAAACGGATATCCATAAACACCTCAAACAGAGACTGTTGAAAGCTGAACTCATCCTCGCATTCCCTAAACCAAGTTAGATGTGAGGAATTCATCCTTGCCTCTCCCTCATTCTTCATATCCAAGTCCTGTGCATTTCACACTTCCAGAATTGTTCTCTGAATATCTCCTCTGTCTCTACTACGACAGCTCAAGTTCAAACAGCATCATCAGCCCCCACCTGGACTCCCTGCCTCTAGTCTTGTCCCCTCAGGTTTATCCTCCTCAGAGGACAGATTCAGAAATCAGAAGGCCTGAGTCTGGATCTTGGTTCTGCCACTTACTAGCTGTGTGACTTTGGCAATTTACTTAACCTCTCTATGTCCTTTTTTCTTCATCTGTGAAATAAGGATAATAATAGTATTTATTTTATAGGCTTGTGGAAAGCATTAAATGAGTTCATACAGGTATGGTGTTTAGAACAGCGCCTGACAAGTAGCAAAGCTTTTTATTCTTACCACTCATTGCCTCCAGGTTTATGCTCCGGCCACACTGGTGTGCATGTAGCTCTTTGCACTCTGCCATGGTTCTATGTGTGCTTTGGGTGTTTATCTCATTGTTTAAGGCTCAGCCTAGTCAGAAAGCCTGGCCTAGGGGTCTCTTCTCTTTCCTCCTTCCTCCTTTAATACCTCTTTTTATTACAGCTATAGATGAGCTTGCTACATTGTAATGTAATTTGCTGTTTATATGTCTTTCTCTCTTGGCAGCACCAGGACAGGAGGGATCAGATCCTATTTATCATTGTAGCTTTGGCACCCATAATAGCAACTGCTATTCTATTAGCATTTAAATGTTTTGCCAGATAACTAAAGAATAACTGAGCAAGTAAATAATTAATTGTTTTAGGTCTTTATAAGTTGTGCATCTTAGGATTTTTAATCATTACTCTGTCTGATTTGTACAGAAAAATGTTTATGACCGGGACTAGAAAAAACTCTCCGAGGACGTCCCAACAAAAGTGCTCATTCTGTTTTTGTTTGAGGGGGTTGGTTTGGGCTGGGAGAGGTTTAAGCCTGTTTGTTTACAGGCTGAGGAAAAGTTGAGGGAAAGTTGCAGATACAAGAGAACACCGACATGTTTCCTTGGGTGAGGTGGAGGAACTGTCGAGGGTTAAGAGCACAGGTGGAAGATGTGGATCTGAACAGGAGAGACACCTCATTCTCTGAACCTTCGGAAAAGGAGGTAAGAAATGGATGTGGGGACAGTGATTTATATGGAGATCTTGCTAATAGCTTCAATCTTCTCTGAGCAGTACGAGGCAAGAGCGTTCACTCAAATGGAGTGAGAGGCAGGAATGGAGCAGGGAAACTGGGACGAATGATTGAGGAGGAGGACGTTTAAAACGGGAAAGAAGGATGACAAGGGGTAAGAACAAATTAGGGGAGGAGTAGAAGTTACCCTAAATCTTAAATCGCGGGCGTGGAGCCGATCTCTGGTGAGGGTCCTGCTGGTGTGAGGGATTTAGCGTAGATCGCGTTACTAACAGCAGCAGCAGCAGCAGCCCATGCCCACGGGGCGGGGCCACACAGGGTCCTGACTGCGGAGCTGTACAGGGCTTTTCCAGGAAGGGGGCGGGGAGAGCTTGGTCTCTGCATCTCCCAGCCTGAGAGAGTGGCTGATTTTGCGTTCTGCATTAGGGCCCCGACCAGGGTGGTCCCCCACGTCCCATGCAGGGTCACCTGGGCCTGCCAGTACTGTTAGGTTGCTCCCGGCCACAGCAGCCACCAAGGCTTAGCAGGTTTAGGGTTCACAAAGTCAGAGCCCAGGGCTGAGTTAAGAACGACTAGGGTTGCTCTCACAGGGGTTAGAACAAATTCATACATGAGACAAACTATCTATTGCATGACTGTTATGATTCTATTATGACCTATACTGTAAATCCTCTAGTTTGTCTGTCTTTTCTGCCTTGTCACACTGTCCTCTGTATCTGTTCGGCACAGAACCTCGATAACCAAACCATTTAAGACAGCGCCCCCTGGTGGCCTGAAGGCCTCACTGCCTCTTTCTTTTGAAATAGCGCCACGCCTAGAGGAGGTGAGGCTGGGTCCCCTAGCATAGCCGTGAAGAAAAGTGATCAGCGTTGTGACATCACAGAGACACCTACCTAAAGTGATAGATAAAGACCAGCCATTCTCTTACCTGAAAAAAAATGCCTCCTTTGCCAATTAGAAGCCCCATGTGTTTGCAGTCCTCATGGATTTGATTGACTTCTTCAGGAGGAAGAGGCTGGCGGCTCATCTGTAAATACATTTGAAAAATATTTTCTATTTGGTGTTTGAATGGCTAAAGATATTATTTCCAAGAGAAATACAAGGGAACTCAAGCAGTCAATGCTCTTCTCTCCCTCTCAATGTCTCTCTCCCCTGTAACTGAATAAAGCTGTTGGTTGCTGGACCGGATTTTTGGCGTGGGAGTGTTATTAAAAATATTTGTTTTTATCTCAGTTCATCCCAAATTTCCAAAGACAAAATAAAGTTGAATGCAGATAGCCAGTGAATCTTGGCTCTGCTAATGGGAGCGTGGTTCTTTAACAAACGAATTTGAAGTTGGCTTTATTTATGTGGAAATTCTCCTCAACTCTTCACTTTGTTTTGCCCATGTAAAGAGCTCATTTCAAAGTCCAGGAAATGGCTCAGAAGGTGCACAAGGGCACGAAGAGTACAAGCTTTTCCTGGGCCACTGGCATGGCACGGGCAGCTGAGGTGGGCCTGTTTGTCCTTAAGGTTCCTGCTGGTGGAATTTGCTCTTTTCCCCCCAAGATGTCATCCTCCAGGGTTAGGAAAGGCAAGCGTTTCGAGAGCCAAGGGGCTGTTTCAGGTCGCTGGGCATCTGAAGTTTGTCCCCACCTATTGGTCCAGACGTGCCAATACCCCTCTGGTGACCCTGGGCTGGGGGCTTGCGCCCTTTCTGTGTGTCTCCTGTCTTCTGAGTCTGTGAGTATAAACGCCTCCCTCTAACTTAGTCATTTCTGGTCGGTGGGTCTGCATCACCTGGCGGCTTTTTCAAACTCCCCATATTTGGGCCTCATGCTAGGCCTATCGAATTCGAATATTTGGGGCAGGGCTCAGGCATCTGTATTTGTAATATGTTCCTCAGGCAACTGGGCTGAGAACTCTGCTGCAGTCACCCTATTTGAGTGCTGAGCGCTGTCATCCTCCCTTTGTGTCCGTCCCCCTCCCCTGCCCCGTGTCCCATTCTTTCCCATTCTTCCGGAGCACAGCCTTTGTGAGCATGGGCACTGGTCTGGCTCTCTGGTTTCAGATGCAGAAGGCCTGATGCCGGCTAGTGGGCCAGCCCCTGCGATCCTGGTGAGGTAGAGGAGGGCTCCCTCTGCTGCTCCCAGCTTCGTTCTTCTCCTCAGGGCTTCCTACCCACCCTCCTTCCAGGCTTTAGTATCCATTCCCTTTCCCCCACCAAGCCCTGATTCAACTCCTTCCCTGAATCCTTTATTCCTGGTTAGGTGGCACTGTCAGCGCACAGAATAAGACTGTGCCTCCCAAAGGTGTTTGCATTTTTTGTCTGTCTTAAAGCTTTAATATAAGGAAAATAATATTCAAACGTTCAGACTCTTGGATAATGGAGGATGTGAGACGGGGGAAAAGACTAGGATCTTCTCAGTGATCCTAAAATGTCATCACGCATTTCTGCTTGCCCCTGAGGTTCTCAGCTGTTGGACAGGGAAGACTAAAATGCTACAGAATAATTTAGGACTAAACTGTGAGAACTGGGAAGAGGTCCAATACCGTTTGGGGGATGAGAGGTAAGAGGGAGCCCGGCACCCTCTGGAAGGGTTTCCTGACAGGAAGTGAGGTTGGTGGGGCCTTGGTGGATATTAAGGATCTGGGAGGCGGAGTTTGCTTGGTTTCATCCTGGTCTGGGCCAGCACCCTCCGCACTCCCTTGCCCATTTTATCACCCCCCGGCCTCAACTGCTATGACTAATTGAACATCTTGTGTGGATCCCACAGAGAAAAACAGAGTTGGAAACTCTCACGAGACAAAGCCACAGGACAGCCTAATCAGGCCCTGTGCTCAAGCCTATGTCCCAACTGCTTGATAATCAAGTGGGCAAATTAGTACCTAACCTCTTGTCGGGTGTATAACGTAGATTTGTGTTCATCTTTTTTTTTTCTTTTTGCCTTTTTTGGGGGTAAATTTGTGTTTAAACAATTATAAAAATAATCCATGGTTATTGGGAAAAACACCCTTAATGCAATATGGATATGCATAAAGTAAAAATGGAAAGTTTCCCCTTCCCCAATGCTACTTATAGGGACACCGCCTTTTGGTGATTTGGTGTGAACCATTTTCACTATGCATGCAAATACATCTATATGCATATTTTTAAAAAAGTCATACTTTATAAGGTTTTGCAATTTGCTTTTAACAATTTATAATATATCTTGGACATCTTTCCATGTTAGCGTATTTGGACCTAGTCTTCTTAAATGTTATCTAGTGTTTTATTGTTTGTCAGTAATTTGTTCAGTCTCCTGTTGAGCATTTATGTTGTTTCCAGTTTGTCACGATTATAAACAATGCTGAAAATATCCCTGGTCATATATATTGTTACACACTTCTGTGAGTATTTCTTTTCATTTTTTTTCTTTTTTTTTGCTGAGAAAGATTTGCCCTGAGCTAACATCTGTTGCCAATCTTCCTCTCTCTTTTTTTTTTTCCTCCCAAAAGCCACAGTACATAGTTGTATATTCTAGTTGTAAGTCCTTCTAGTTTTTCTATGTGAGCCACTGCCACAGGATGGCTACTGACAGACAAGTGGTGTGGTTCCACACCTGGGAACTGAACCCGGGCCGCGGAAGCAGAGTGCGCCGACTTTTAACCACTAGACCATCAGTGCTGGCTCTGAGTATTTCTTTAGGACACATTTTTAGAAGTGGAATTGCTAGGTCAAAATACATTTAAAATTTTGATAGATACAGACAAATTGCTGTCCAAAGGGCTGTACCAATTTACATCCTCACAGTGTATGGGAGTTTCGATTTTGGGTTATGCTGGGCAACATTATAGCCAAGTTTTGAGCTGTTATAATTACATGAATGTGGTCTAAAGTGTTGCACGGGCCTGAAATCCATCAATAAACACTTGTAAAGCACTTACCATCTGTATGTTTCCTGGCCTCAAAAATGTACAACTTATTTAGGAAAATAAGGTATTTACACATGAAAACTGAGTCAACAAATACACAGTTTGAAAGATCTTTTCAAGAGAGCTCTTTAGAGAGTAAGTGATGGAGAGATCCTCTGAAGGCTGGAGCCCTATACTGGGAAGAAGCAAAGGCAAGCTTTAAGGCGGAGGTGTGATGAAGAGTTGGATCTTGAAAAAGGCTAGGATTTCCTTAGGTAGGTGGAGATAGAGAGGAGAGTACTGTATTCCATGCTTGGGGAAAAGTTTGAGTGACATTTGGATTAGGAAAGTGAATGGCATTGAGGGGACAATGACTAGAACTAGGGAATGGAGGAGTGAGATTTAAATCTGGGTGGTCTGCCTTCAGAACTCGTGCTTATAACTACCAAATGGCAGACAGAAGAGAAAAAGAGCTCATTGTATAGATACTACCATATAGCCTATTTTCTTTTTCCATAATGCAGTTTGGACATCTTTCTATGTCAAATATATATCTATGCCATTGTAGTGTGAATGTACCATAATTTAGCTTGTTCTGTATCAAGGGCCATTTGGGAGGATTCCGATTTTTATCATGACTAATTAAGTTCTGATGAGCATCGTTGTTCATGTCTTTGAGCACACAGAAGTTGGCTTTGGAACAGTGGGAAACGGAAAGGGAAGGAACCCCTCCTCTCTCATTGGGCTTTCTTCTGTGGAGTCTGGACTTTGATATCTTTGAGGGAGTTCCTGAGCTAGGGACTAGGATGGACTCTTCTGAGCCTTCAAACAGCCCTTGACTGGTCCACAACTGAAGATGAGTATGTTACTGCTTGTAACATACAGAGGCCTCATCTCATATTACTCTTATTTTCCTGTTGTCTTCCTTTAGTTTTAAAATCTTGTTTAAGCATTCCAGCTTGTACTAGCTCTGTTGTGTGGTATTAATGGAGGTGTCTTATAGCCATGGTCTGGTCTGAATGTTGAAAGAATTGAGCATCAAACCTCCTAAGCAAGGACGGTGTGGTAAGATCTAGTGGCAAGAAGTCACCCAAGGGACAGGTGGATCCCCGTGGACAAGAGTCAGGAGTAAGGCGTTATTCTGACTTTTCCTCCCTGTCCCAAGATTCTCCTGCTGTTGCTCTCCTCAGAGGATCTAGGCTTTGCCTTTAAGGAGGAAAAAGACAATTTCCTACTGACTTGGACTGTGGGGGCAAGAGTAGAAACAAAGGGAAGGATTTGAAAGACCCAGCAAAGAAAGAATCCACAGGATTTGACATTAGAAATAAGGGGAGAGAAGGAGACAGATTATTTTGTGATATTGAGGCTGGGTAATTGAGAGAACAGTGGAAGGTGAGAAACAGAAACAGTGAACTTGGGAGGAATAACTAGTTTGGGGGAAAATGCTATGTTCAATTGTTGTCATACTGAGTTGGAGGTCACAGTGGGGAATGTCATCAGAAAGTCACCTTCCTTTCTGGTTACTTGAGACGTTGAAATCCATTCACAAACAAACAAGCAAATACAAAACCCTATAGATCTTTAACATCCTTACCCTAATCCATCACCACAACCTTCTCCTGGCCCTTTCTGCTCAAATAATTTCCCCCTTTCCCCATATTTCTAATTCTAACTATTCAGTCATCACCAATGCTCTTTGCCTAGTCTGCCAAGAATAATATCAATTCTCTTTTCCAAATGCCCTCCCTCACCCCTCTAGAACTCTTGACGACCTGCTAGCGTCTTATTCATACCCAACACTCCTTCTCGTCTCTAATGGGCTGTGCTGAGTCTTGCTGTCCTCTGTGCTCTCTCCCTGAGAATGAATGAAGTGAGCCTGCAGCCGATGCTTCTTACTTCACCTCTCACTACCCGCAAGAAGCAACGGATCAGAACCCACCTTATCCTTCACCATTTCTACTCCTATCATGAGGCCTTTGCCTCGGACGTCTCCGATAATTTCAAATTCATCCCTCAGCTTAGCAAACTCCAGTAACATGTAGGTGCCAACTTCTTGACTGTTTTCCTGTAGATTTTCTTCTTTAATCACCTGTTGAGAGAAGGCCCCAAATGATCTTGTGTTAAAAAAAAGTTCTCAAACTGACTGAGAAACATGGAGAGGTAAATGTATATGACCCTCTTTATAGGAAATTGACTAGACAAATGGAACCCAAAGTCTAGTGTGGCCATACCACATACTACAAAAACATTTGCTGCAAGGAAAAAAAGGCTTGGTAGAGGGGAGACTGCCCCCATACCCTCCTCATCTTCAGAGGTGGTAAGAATTTAAGAAAGAATAAAAGATACATCTCAACGCAGTTTGTAAGACAGATTCCATAATCCTGAGGTTCATTATTGCCAGGCTTCACTGAGAACTGGGATAGAGTGGTAAATAAGACAAATGCTCTAAGGAGAGAAATGTCACAGATGCTCACCTTACTGGGAGCTTGTCGATCTTTGTCAAGCAGCCCTCAGCTGGACACAGACTGTTATTGTCCAAGGGTCCCACTGCAGGGCCCTGGCCTCCAGAGCTGAGCGGAACCCTGTCTGGGCCCAGAGCCGGGGCACTGAAGTTCACCTACTTCCACTCACAGCAGAGACCTGTGATTCTTGACAAGATACGTGCAATATACTACATTTATGTTTAGCTGATAATAATTGTATGACTCTAGGAAAACCTTGATGTTTTTAAACCCTATTTGTTCACCTAAATCTTCTCTACCTTCTAAATTAGTTGAGGTGACACAGCACTTAAAAAAAAGTTGGCAATGTCTACAAAATGAAATGACACATTCCTATTCAAGCTTTTTCATTTCATGATTTAATCATATTTGAAGATGCTTTTTAATTAGCAGGGAAGCTTTTACTTATTTATTTTTATTTAAAAATACTTTTAAATTTAATTTTTTGAATAGGTGAATCATACGTATACTTTGAAAATCAGAAAGTATGTAAGTATATGGTAGAATGACCCTCGCTGATCCATGTCCCCCAGAAACCAAGTTTCTTTCCCCACAAACAACCCCTGTTCTTAATTTCTTGGACATTTTTCCAGAAATGCATTATACTTATTTAAGCAAATGCCATTATGCATACTAGCAAGGGCATTTAAAAAATCTGTTTCAACAGATGATACCCCAGACAAAATCCATGGGGTGGGGTTGAACAGTAGCTGAATTGCCTAGTTGTAATCACACAGAACTCAATTTCTCTTTAGTCTTTTAATTTATGACAGCACCTCAAAAGGAAGGAAGAAGATACAAGACAGGGTCAAAATTAAACTGAAGTCAAGGATAGCAGTTGGTAGCTATCCATAAAATACCACTCAAATAACAAATCTTACTGCTACCAGGTAGCTAGAGAAATTTTTCTATTTCCCATGCATGTGAGGTTTATATACTATTTTGTATCCAGTACAACATATCCAATGTCAAGCACTCAAAATAGATCTTTAAAAAAAGGAGAAGGGGGGCAGAATAATAAAATTTAACTTAAATTCATGGACTAGTAGGCAACTCTTCACTTTCATAATGTAATGTGATAGAGTTCTGACAATGTGTGTGTGGTTTTGAAGTAGCCATTTTGTGAAATGAGTGACGCTAATGTGGTTGCTGGAACACACCTCAAGCACCGCTGATCCAATGGCACAGGCCACGGGGCTCCCTCCGAAGGTGTTGAAGTAGAGCAGGCGTTTAGCTAAAGACTTGGCAATCTCTAGGGGGAGAAAATAAAAAGTGAGTAAAGAGTGACACATTCCTATCTATAATCTCTCAACACACTATTTGGATTATATTTACTTTCATGTTGTATGTATGTATATATTATGGATTTCATGCATCACATCCAATTCATTATTATTATTATTTTTTTTTGGCAAGGAAGATCAGCCCTGAGCTAACATCCGTGCTAATCCTCCTCTTTTTGCTGAGGAAGACCTGCTCTGAGCTAACATCTATTGCCAATCCTCCTCATTTTTTCTCCCCAAAGCCCCAGTAGATAGTTGTATGTCATAGCTGCACATACTTCTAGTTGCTGTATGTGGGACACGGCCTCAGCATGGCCGGAGAAGCGGTGTGTCAGTGCGCGCCTGGGATCCGAACTCGGGCCACCAGTAGCAGAGTGCGCACACTGAACCGCTAAGCCACGGGGCCGGCCCGCCGATTCATTCTTTACTCGCCAGATAGTGGATGTTATGGATGGAATTGTGTACCCCCCCACCAATTCATATGTTGAATCCCTAACCCGCAGTGTGGCTATAATTGGAGATAGGGCCTTTAGGGAGTTAATTAAAGTTAAATGATGTCATAAAGGTGGGGCCTTAATTGAATAGGACTGATGTCCTCACAAGAAGAAGAGACACCGGAGCTCTCTCTCCAAAGAAAAGGACATGTGAGGACACAGCAAGAAGGTAGCCGTCTGCAAGAGAGACCTCACCAGAAACTAACTCTGCTGGCAGCTTGATCTTGGACTTCCAACCTCCAGAACTATGAGAAAATAAATGTCTGTTGTTGAAGCCACCCAGCCTATGGTATCTTGTTATGGTAGCCCTGGCTCACTAATCCAGTGGATAAGGAAAAATTGCTTATTTACTCAATGAGAAGTTTGATACCAAAATCTTTAACTTGTCGTGTGAATTGAAAAATACCTTAAAACTTGATTTATGGGAATTTACATGAAACTTCCATTAGAAAAACCTTTTTTCTGTATGCCACTCTTGGGACTAAGAAAGAAATGTTAAAAAAAGAAATCTCACATCAAAGCTTTAGTAACGTAATTTCTGTATTGTTTCAGGGTGAGTACATATTTGGTTCATTATACTTCACCTTCTACTTCCACATTCTAGTACCTTTATTCATTCAATAAAAACACTGAGATATCACAAGGCACTTAATTATCCTTTAGTGCCTCTGAAGTGGTTTGGCGGGAAAAGCAAATGAAATAACTTCAAGATTTTCAACAATAAATTGTTCATAAAAATAATTTTCCATAAAACTTCACTAAAACGGAAAATACAGTTAACTCTAGTGTTCATTTCATAGAATGTTCTGGCTAAGTGAGATTGTACTGTATTTGGCTGTTTTGTTGATGAGACATCAACAGAGACCTTGAGTCTATAGCTTATGGGTATGGTAAGACCAAGTAAGAATCTCTTTCCAGAATATGATTCCCTTAGGAATTTCAGGGTTGGTTTCAGGTTGGTTAATAAGGATCTCTTGTGTTGGTTTTGTTTCTGTGGCACATTTTCCTCTACCTTGTCAGTGTGGTAGAACCCTGCATTTCCTTTTTGCGGGTGGGAGAATTAGTCTTCCCTACAGCAGGCACATAAAGGGCTGGCTTTCTTCCATCTGTTCCACAATCTGGCGGATAGACTGTGTCTCCTTTTCATTGCTTGGGAAATGCATGTGTAGTTCCCATCACTGTCTACCATCCACATGAGTTCCAATACACGTATTTTCTACCATCGCTGTTGCCAGAGGCCCAGAAGCAAACACAAATTGCCCCTAGGTCCTACCTGGAGTTGTGACAACTGCTGCCATGGGAAAGCCATTTGCAATCCCTTTAGCCAGGGTGACAATGTCTGGCAGGACGTCGTGGGTTTGGAATCCCCAGAAGTGAGATCCCAACCTTCCAAATCCTGTTTGCACCTGATGGAAACAAATTCAAAACCATTGGAAACCTGTTAAGAAATGCTGGTTTTTCTGACTGTCTGATCTCTTCCTTTTCCTCTTCTTCCTTCTCCTTCCTCTCTTCCTTCTCCTCCTCAAGATCATCATCACCAGCCATCATCAACACCATCCTTCTACTATTTTGGACAAAGCTTCTGTGCCTGAGCTTTTAGGCATCAAAAACTAATTACTCATTTTGTGTGATTCTGGATATGTTTCTTTTATTTTTTTTTTCTGTGAGGAAGATCAGCCCTGAGCTAATATCCATGCCAATCCTCCTCTTTTTGCTGAGGAAGACTGGCTCTAAGCTAACATCTATTGCCAATCCTCCTCCCTTTTTTTCCCCAAAGCCCCAGTAGATAGCTGCATGTCATAGCTGCACATCCTTCTAGTTGCTGTATGTGGGACGCGGCCTCAGCATGGCCGGAGAAGCGGTGTGTCGGTGCGCGCCCGGGATCCGAACCCCAGCCGCCAGTGGCAGAGTGCGCGCACTCAACCGCTAAGCCACGGGGCCAGCCCACTGGATATGTTTCTTAAGTCTGAACCTATGTTAACTCTAAGTAGACATACTTATAGCAATACACCACAGGGCTGCTGTGAGGGTCATATAAATAATGCACGTGAAAAGGATCATTATGATTAGCAATCCTTAATAAGGATCTTCCTTGTGTAAGGCAGCAGGGGAGAAAAGCAGAGAAGCTGCATGTGCCCCAGGCTGGACGAGGCAGGTACAGTAAGTGGATTGGACAGGGCACCTGCCAACTGGCCCAGATAGCCGATCATCCTCTTCCCTGTGATCTCCTTTTCTTCCTGAGAATTATATCATGAGGAGGACCCTGCTGAGCCAGTTAGCTCAGGATTGAACTAAGTTGACCTTAGTTGTTTTGTGCATGCTGTTCTCTTTCTAGAAGACTCTCTCCTTGCTTCTTCCTCTCACTAACTCCTTTTGTCCTTCAAAACACAGCTTCAGGGGCTGGCCCCGTGGTATAGCAGTTAAGTGCGCACGCTCCGCTACCAGCGGCCCTGGTTCGGATCCCGGGCACGCACTGAAGCACTGCTTGTTGGGCCATGCTGTGGCGGTGTCCCACATAAAGTGGAGGAAGATGGGCATGGATGTTAGCCCAGGGCCAGTCTTCCTCAGCAAAAAAAGAGGAGGATTGGCACGGATGTTAGCTCAGGGCTGATCTTCCTCACAAAAAAAAACCAAAAAACAAAAAACAAAAACAAAAAAACACAGCTTCATCATCATTTGGTCTAGGAAGATTTTCCTGAGCCCCAGGAGGGCTCCCACTCTAGGCCCCTAAGCATGCTGCCATCAGAACCTCTTACCTTCGATTATTATCACCAGTGTCCATGTCTGATGACAAAGACTGTATCTTATTCCTCTTTTTATCCACAACACCTAGCAGAGTGCCTGACAAAAGTAGACACTTAACGTTCCTAGAATGAATGTAGAGGTGGTAGAAGTGCCTAACTGAATAAGCCATACAACAGTTTCAGGCAAATTTCTGCCGGGGTCTTTCTGGTGACGGTTCCTTGATCTCTTTCTGGCTCTCAGTCTCTTGGTATGTCTGTCTCTGTCACTCTACACATACCCACAGTGCAGGTCGCCGATAGAGGTGTGGGCACTTGAAGTGGATTCTGAAATGCACTTGAAAGAGGAAGCTTCCTTCTCATGCTTCCTTCTCATTTTCCCTGCTCTTCCTGGGGTGCTGCTACAAAGGCAGATTTCAGGGATTAGATTTAGATGATAGCAAACAATGTAGGGGAAGAGCTTAGATACAGGAGTAAGACAGACCTGGACTCGAGTCCTGGGTCTCCTACTTCCTAGTTACGGGCCTCTGCGCAAGCTGATGAATTTGCCCAAATAAGATAATGTAGGAAGCTCGTGGAAAATCCTTCCATTTTGTCTTCCTGCCTATCTTCATTTTTTACTCCATCTATCTAAGTACCATAAATAAATGGTGAAAAATCAGATTGCTTGGACAATGCATGACATTATATAGGACAATAAACCATGTTTGGTCACCTAGGAAGTATCGGTTTCATAGAATCTTTCAGTAGAACAGAGATGATTCATTTTAAGGTTCATAAAGTCAAATGTCTTCAGGGGTGAGGAGCATATACTAGTGAGAGAGGCAGGCTGGGTCGATGACAATGAGCAGGGGTGGGGACTATGGGTGTGCATGCCCTGCCTAAATGCAGTCAATTTCAAATCTAAACCTAGTCCAGGCCAGACCAGCAAAGACTGGCTGCCCAACTGGCCCCAGAGGTGGCCAATTTTCTATCTTTGATTCCAAATTCCTCATTTTAAAGAAGAGAAAACCAAGGCTAGCTAATTAAGATGACTTGTGTGAGATCACTTGATGGCAGCGCTGGCCCTGCTCTCAGGTTTTCCACCCCTGGCCCCTGTTTTTCTGCCATCCTTTGCCTTTCTACCTCACCATTCTGTCATTGAGAGGCAGTTTGGCCCAGTGGTTAGTTGGTCTTGGAGCCTGGGTTTGGTTTTGGCTCTGTCCCTACTAACTGCATGACCTTAACAGGTGACTTAACCATCTTGGACTCAGATTCCCTTATCTGTAAAATGGGAATAATAACAATGGGACATACCTTATAGAATTGTTATGAGCATTAACCAAATTAATACATGTAAAGCATTGTGAACAGTGCCTGATATGTAGTAAGCGCTCAGAAAGTTCTAGCCATTGTTATCTTTATCTAGTCATTAGGACAGTCTTTCCTGTGTTAGACAGTTTCCAATTACGTTCTTGAAAGTGATAAAACCACATATCTTAGAAAATTCTGAAATTCATATTTTCTTTGAATTCAGTCTCCCTTCCTCTAATTAGTCCAACTGTGGCAGCTTCGCTACGTGATGATTGTGAAGGTTAAAGTTTATTCTCGTCACTGATGGAGCTAATTGTAAACTGACTGAATATACCTTTCTTCTTCCTTTTTAGTAGCAGATTAACATTCTTCGGGACTTTGATTAGTTCACGTTTCCTAAACTTGTGCCGTTGGGTTGGGGAAGGGAGGATGGGCATGGCAGGAGGAGCTGGCCCACGCTTCCCTATGTAGTACAGCTGGGGGACCAGTCTACCCGGGGATAACAGAGACCTGGCTGCGCATGAAGAAATTGCAAAAGAATTCCGCCAAGGGGGCAGCCCCATGTCCACTCTAGGTTTAGTTGAGGAAAACTGTTCAGGCAAAGATGGCAGGACTGAAACAGGTGTGAAACATACAAGTCCTCCACCTGCTCTTGGTGGGTCTGACCACTTATGAGTAGAATCACGGTGGGACACCCAAGAATGAGCCGGGAGCACTTCTGTGGCCCTGGTGGCCATCCTCTGGTATTTTGTTCTCCATACTATTCTCAGTAGGCAAAAGACTGCTTTCTTTGATACACTCTAATAATGAGGTGTGATTGTAAGTAAACTGATCCCTTTAGGAAAGACACAGGCTAGCCCCTCACAGAGGCAATGAAATTTATTCCCTCATAGTGTCCCCTTGGAGGCACTGTGTGCTTATTCCAACAAAGCTGCCTTAACTCAAGCTATTTTAGAATTTTTTTGGAACCAGATTTTGGATATCTATGATGATGGACCTCTTCTAACTTAGAGGCTGGATTTTTTTCTTTTTAAGTATCATTTCCAAGCAAGTTTTGTTATTAAGGCAAGACGAATTGCTGCCAGGCTGATTAATACTATTTTGGCAAAAATTAAGATGAAAACTTTGTTATAAGATTACATTGCCCATACGGTTTTTAAGCTGCCCCTGAAGCAATCCCCAAATAGAAATTTTAAAAGTGTGTTGAGTGATGGCAGCATCATCTATGTCTGTTAGCAACTTGTTTGGTAGACTAATTGGGATGTTTAAGTTCTGGTGTACTTGTTAAACAAACCAACTAATCCACTAACAAACCAACCAGCTAACTAGCAAAAGCTTCATTAACTTAGACCCCCATGTTGGAGTTCCCACACTAGATGCTTTCTTGCCTAGACTGCAGGGGAGAGTTAAGAGGTTTCTCCCTTGCCTTTCCCGTCCCTGCTGCACTACATCCACCTATCCCATGGCCACTCACTTCATCGGAGATGCACACGCCTCCCTGCTCTCGCACCAGCTCGAAGGCTTCCTTTAGAAACCCCTTTGGGTACTGAACAACTCCATTCACCCCCTGCAAAGGACCAAACCAAGAAGACCTGTATTAACAGCACAGCCCTTTGAAACTATTAAAAAAAAAATTATCATCGTTAGCATTAGTAATACTAGCAGTTTTTAAAGTAGTCTCTAGAACTGTTTCAACTATGGGTAAACTCTGATGCCATATCTTTTGGGAAAAGGATGCAAATGTTTATTCTCTTCTGAGATTAGAAAAAACATAGGTTAAGGGGACTTGGTAGCCAGCCCTGGTGGTCTGGTGGTTAAGATTTGGCACTCCTACCATCGTGGCCCGGGTTCATTTCTTGGTCAGGCAACCATACCACCCATCTGTTGGTTTTCATACTGTGGTGGCTGTGTGTTGCTGTGATGCTGAAAGCTATGCCATGAGTGTTTCAAACACCAGCAGAGTCACCCATCGTGGACAGGTTTTAGTGGAGTTTCCAGATTAAGACAGACTAGGAAGGAAGACCTAGCCACGCACTTCCAAAAAAAATTGGCTAAGAAAACCCTATGAACAGCAGTGGAGCATTGTCTGATATGGTGCCGGAAGGTGAGAGGATGGCGCAAAAAGATGGAGCAGGGTTCCGCCCTCCTATACACAGGGCCACTGTGAGTTGGAATCAACTTGGCAGCACTAACAACAGAAGAGGACGTGGTAAGATTGAAGAAAGGCTCCCCCTGACAGTGTGAGTGTTAAGCAACTAAAAATTGCTGGGATTTCCTTTTGTTTAGAATTTTAGGAATTCGGTAGTTTCATGTCTCTATCTATTCAGTCTGGGAACACAGGAGATGGTTTTTTCAAGGTCAATCGAAGTCAAGGGCCCTTTTTTTTCAAGGGGACCAAGAGAATGAATTGAACTTGGAGAAGGCCATGGCAATGATGGATTAAATAATTTGAAATTCTCTAGAATGTATGAGTTAAAACTCTCTGATAATTTAAAACTGAGCTTGATTAATGTGTAAGGTTAATATACTCACTTGGATCGGCTCTACAAAAAATCCAGCAATTGATTTGGCCACGGAAGTGCTCAGACTATCTTTGAATTGTTCAATATACTGGTCTTTCGCTTGGCAGCAGTCTGAAGAAGACAAACAATTTGAAGATGTGAGAATGGCATCCAGAAGAATGAGGAAAAATATAGAAAAAAGAAAACAGGATGAGTAAATTGACTAGAGGCCCTCAGAATACAGTAAACTAGGATATGAAGATCTGATTTCTGAAGGGGGAACATTCCATCAGAACGACTTGTACTTTGGCTTGAGTAGTGAAACTAGGATAGCCACGGAGTCATAAACAAACCACTTCAGCCTTTTCCGTCTGGGAAGGAATGCCTTGAACTATCACTGAGTCTGGTATAGATAGCTACTTCACCTAAGGATACTCATCCTCTTAGCTAGGTAGATTTAATTCAAATGTAGCTGGGGTGTGGATTTAATCTATTTGAAAATAATTCTATTTACCTTTTATTGCCACTTAATCTGATGTACAATTTTAAAGCTACAAAGTGTCTCAGTCCTTAGAGTTAGTAAATACGTTTACCGAATAATTAGAATTCAGTCCAAAGAGGAATGTGCTAGAGCCAGATAATTTTCATCCATTATAGCCAGGGAGAGGAAGCCTTCTCCTCTGGAGTACTGCAGGTCCGGGATCGACTGCTTCCATATGTGACTGAACCTTCAGTATTTTTATCCTCACCTGTAATTTGGTTCTAAACAGCGCCACATAGTCTCTGAACTTAAACCCACATCCACGGATGGCAGAAGGGATGCAGAGGGAGATGTGGATGTGATGGAAGACCCCAGCCCCAGAGACAGTGAAAGCAGTCTGGGAGGCTACCTACCATCCTAACGCTTTCTTAGAGGCATGGATGTAGCCCTGTCTCCTGAAGGCTAGAGATAAGGAATAGAAAGCTTCAGTCATTGCCATCAACACTGAAGCATAAATATATTTCATATTTCGGCTCTTCATTAAAAAGTGGGACAAACACTACCTGGCCCCAAACATATTTTTAGGCTATATGTGATGTTTGGGAAAGCTTGCTTGACAGAAGTACTTGATATCTTTGATTAGTTGGAATTGGGGGTTGGGCGAGTGAGGAAGGAAGTAATGAAAAGGATATCTAAACCTAGAAAGTACATTTTTAGCATCGCTTATGTTGTTTGATGGGCAGGATATAGTGGACAAATAAATCTATGCCTCTAGAGATTGAAATTTCCTATTTTTATTAAAAGAGGAAGGGAAAACAGCTTAGGATGATCCTAAATGATGGATTAGACATATGTTCAAAAGATCTAATTTGGAAATTTAGGAAGCCCATTTGTAGCTAGAGAAATCAAAGGGTGAAGCAAAATCAACCTCAATGGCTTAAACTTAGACAAAACCAAACCAAGAGAAAGTTTTGCCTGAACCTCATTTTTCATGATTTTTTTTTTTCATTTTTAATCTTTCATGATTTTTTTCCCCTACTGCCCACAAGTTCAGTGACGAGAGGGGTCATTGACCGTAATCAGCTTTTTACTTCACTTCACATTTACTTCATTGGCTCATTGCTGTAACTCCAGGTCAGGTTGCCTCTGGAGAGATGTGGTGCTTGATGTCACCATGACAACATCATGGGGCTGGAGAGTGGACACTCTGCTGGATACTATCCAAGCAATAGAGTGGATATGGAAATGTTGTTTTAGCTGGTGGTATAGAAAGAGTTAAGCGGTGCGAGGAACCAAGAAAGAACCTTTTCTTTTTGTGAGGAAGGTTGGCCCTGAGCTAACATCTGTTGCCAATATTCCCCTATTTTGTGTGTGGGACACCACCACAGCATGGCTTGACGAGCGGTGTGTAGGTCTGCGCCCAGGATCCAAACCTGCGAACCCCAGGCCACCAAAGTGGAGTGTGTGAACTTAACCACTACGCCACTGGGCCAGCCCCAAGAAAGAGCAATTTTTTTTTTTTTTATAATTTTATTTATTTATTTTTTCCCCAAAGCCCCAGTAGATAGTTGTATGTCATAGTTGCACATCCTTCTAGTTGCTGTATGTGGGACATGGCCTCAGCATGGCCGGAGAAGCGGTGCATCGGTGCGCACCTGGGATCCAAACCCGGGCCGCCAGCAGCGGAGCGCATGCACTTAACCGCTAAGCCATGGGGCCGGCCCAAGAAAGAACAATTTTTAAGGAAAAGGAAACTTTTCTTGCAAAAGGAGAGGAAGAATGATATGGTCAGTACCAGGTTTGGAACATTGTGGGGGCAGTGGGTATTGAGAGGTGAATTTCTTCACAGTTTACACCTGAAATTCAAGGCCTGGAATGAACACTTGGAAAGAAACATTCCTGAGGAGGAGGTGGAGGAAGATAATGAAATCCACCACAGAAACACCTCTATTAGGCTCACAAAAAGGACCCCTCTTCTGCCTATGCAGGAAGTGATGACATAATTTGGAGGTGAAAAATCTACCAAGATTGGCACCTGTCTGCACCCAGTGAACGAACCCTAAGAGCAACTGAGAACGGGAAACATCTATATGCAAAGTACTTTACATGTTGGGATGCATGAACACACTTTTTAACAACAAAGACCAAACACTTCTTAGTTCCTAAAAATACTAGAGGAGGCTGAAATCCCTTTTTGTATTCCAGTTCTGTTTAAAGATATGGTATCTGTCTTGTCTCTTGAAGATATGAGTTAAGAAAACAGCTGACTTCAGATATGCCAAAGACAACAGTTTTGAGAAGCAGAAATGTATGTCTGTCACTATCCTTTAGCCTCCAGATGCCACTAGAGAGATGACCGTGGGGTTCTGGTATTTTCAAGTTGGCCTAAGGCAGAGGAGAAGGCCTCAAAGAGCGGGGAGGCAGAGAGGATGGAGAGAGAGAAGGACACTGAGCAGGGATGGAAGGAAATGGCCATCTCTTGAGTGCTACCGCTGCTAGGCTCTGGGCTGGTGCTTTTGCAGTCAGATGGAGGTCTGTGAGGTGTGTCCAACTGATTTTAGCTCTTGATGCCATAAACATACGGTATACAGGGATGGCTGTGCTTGCTACTGCTGTCGTCTGCCTTCGTCTATGGAAAGCTCTCTTCCCTTGATCTCATGAAGCCCCGTGATAAGGGGGACAGGGAAGCTGTTATCATCTCTATTTTACAAATGAGAAAACTGAAGCAGAAGATGAAGCTTTTGCTCATGGCTGAACCATGGTTTAAGCTGAGAGTAGAGTCCACATCTCCTGACTTCACGCGTCTCTTCAATCCCGGCCGGCCGAACAGGAATTATTTTTAAGCCTGAGTTCATCCCACTGGCACATCAGGGTGAACAAGGTGGTCATAGGTGGGAGCACTAGCCTTGGAGTCAGAGGACTTGGGGTCAAGTCCTAGCTCTCCTCCTTCTAGGCATGGACCTCGGTTTCTTCATCTTTAAAATGAAGAGTTTGAATTACAACTTTAAACTTCCTCATGGTTTTAAGTTCTCTGACCAGAACATCTTGTTCCAATTCTCCTTCTTTCATCCTCCTACCTCATTTTGCCATTATCCCACCTGAATTTTAAGATGACTGTGAATTTTCTTCCTTTCAGAGCTGATTTTTAAGATTTCCATTTTCATTCTTCCTCTCAACCCTGTGACTCATACTATTCCATTAAAGATCCTTCGGCTGCAGCATTTAGTTCTTTCCATCAGAGCTACTTAGGAGCAGTTATTCAAAAGGTCCTGCACTGTGATGACAAGCATGAGGGGGACTCGCTGGTTAGCAAAGAACAGACGCTGTTTCCATGCCTCGTCTCCCTCATGTTGAGAGTAGGTAAAGAATGCAAATAAAAATGCAGTTGTTAACTAGAAGCTTTCCTTGTGAGAATGCCTTTAAAACTATTGCAAGAGATGTCAGCAGCCTTTAGGAATGGCCTTCTGTTGCGACAGATGCTCTCATTTTGGCTGGCATTCTGAGCCCCTGGGGAGCTTCTTGACTGGAGTGTTGAGATTTCTGAAGGTATTCTTTTCCCTCCCCCCTTTATCCATTGAGATTGGTAAGTAATCCCACCAACCTCGTTTTATTTTAAAATTGATAGCAGAGCTATTGCTAATAGAGCTAATAGAGTTCTTTTAATTAAGTACCAGGTGATGGGCTGTTTTCAGCTTAGCTCTGAGAGCATGAGATGCTTTTCCTAACAGCCAGATGGATGCTCTGGTAGTACAGTGGTAGCAGGCCTGAGAAATGTTGATTCAATGAGGGGTCACTTTCTAGTTTTGATTCCTTTTTTTTTTTTTTTTGTGAGGAAGGTCAGCCCTGAGCTAACATCCATGCCAATCCTCCTCTTTTTGCTGAGGAAGACTGGCCCTGAGCTAACATCCGTGCCCATCTTCTTCCAGTTTATGTGGGACACTGTCACAGCGTGGCCTGATAAGCGGTGCCTTGGTGCATGCCAGTGATGCGAACCCAGGCCACCAGCAGTGGAGCGCGCACACTTAACTGCTCCGCCACGGGGCCGGCCCCTCTAGCTTTGTTTCCTTTGGCTTTTTCCTTTCCTATTTTTTCAAATCTGCTCACCCAGGAATGGTTCAGCCTTTCTGCGTGTTCCTTCCCCCTCCTGACCTTCCACCACATGCCTCCCTCCCTGCCCAGCTGGACCTGGTGCACAGCTGCATTTCCTAATTGTTTGCACTGGAGAATCTCGACAGTGGCTTCCTCCCCAAGGGCCACGGAAAACATCTGGGCACATTGTCTGCAAATGACAAAAGAAGGAGTTTGGCAAAATGTGAACACAAGACGGTCAATTTAAGGGAGCATATGGTACCAATCAAGGCAAGAGGGGTTCTTAATTTGATATTGAGATTCCTCCCTTACTCCTCCCCCACTTAGGACAAAAACCTAATATTGTTCTGTGAAGAAATAATTTTTTTCTTAGAAATCAGTTTTGTGGGCACTCTACAAAGGGAACTGATTTTAGTGTCAGCCTGGAAACAACTTGCTCAAGAGTTTGGTGGGTAAGGGCATCTGAAAGAATAAGCATAATTAGGTGTCTGATTCAGATGCTGCAAAGGTGGGTATAGCAGATGAGAACAGAAGGTGAGTACAAGGATGACTAAAAATTTCATGCATTCAAGGCTCTGAGAACTAATTTCAACGCATTTGTTTGCAGCTTGCTTGTTTTTATTTAAAAGCACAACAAATAAAAAAAACCCCTATCATTAATTATTACTCACACTCTGAAGGCCTTTCTAAGAAACATTTCCCCCAAATGATCTTCAGTTCAATTAAGTCAAATTGAGCTCCTGATTAATTATGGGCTTTATATTAGTTTCTAATACTAATACCTGGAAAATCTGGTCCGTTATTCCACATACCCAGAAGCCTTTAGAGAAATAAGACAAAAAACTCAAAACTTACTGATTCACAGCCTGACCCAATGGGGATTTTCGTCTTGTAGTACCCTACATTTGTCAAGCCAAGTGTGTAAGGGCTGCATCCATGGTAGGCTCCCCTGCAGAGAAAAAACTTATTATGAAATAAGTGGGAGGATGGGATTAAGTTAATTTTTCTGTGATCACTGGTCTGTGGAATAGTGAGTAGGACAAAAGAGAAAATCCTTGAAGGCTATGGAGACGAAATAGAACACCATTAATATTCAACTCCAATGATTTCTAAGAAATCTAAGCCTGTTAGGTGAATTTACTTATTTATTTTTTGTTCTGGGGTCATAGATTTGAAATTGTGAAAGGAATTTTGGAGACCATCTGGCCAAGAACTCTGACCTTAGCACTTGCCCTACACTGTTACTCTAAAATAGTGAGACTCATCTTTTAGCAACATGCCAGAAATTATATATTCAATATTCAGAGTAGTCGTCAAAGTAGTCAAATATTTGGGATATTTGGCTTGGGAAGCCAAATATTTGTCCCTGTGATGCAGCTGTTGCTCAGTGTCTTTGGGGACTCCTCTCTAAGTGCCTCGTAAGCCACCTTATTGGGCATATAAGAAACACATGTTTTGTTTCTTTTTGAACCTGAAACAGTTATATTTAGTAATAAATCACCCTAATCACCATTCTTGGCTTCAAATGAGTTTTGATAATTTTCCAAATCAAAATCATTCTTTTTTTTTTTTTTTTTTTGTGAGGAAGATCAGCCCTGAGCTAACATCTGCCAATCCTCCTCTTTTTGCTAAGGCAGACTGGCCCTGGGCTAACATTCATGCCAATCTTCTTCCACTTTATATGGGACACCTGCCACAGCATGGCCTGACAAGCGGTTCATCAGTGCGCACCTGGGATCCAAACTGGCAAACCCTGGGCCGCCGCCGCGGAGCGTGCACACTTAACCGCTTTTGCCACCGGGCCAGCCCCAAAATCGCTCTTAAACGAGGATTTAGGACTATTAAGACTATTCAAAAAGATGGTCGTATATCTTGAAAGAGGAGACACAAACATTTGTTGAACTCTAGTAGCACCATGACTGCTTTGAATAGATCTTATCTGGACATGCATATTCTGGCATGTTTATTTAGGTAAAGCATCAATCACAATTCTTTCTTGCCATAGTTCTTTGATAGCAAATACTTGCTCATGCCTATAGTCACTGCATGTGCATTTTATATGGGATGGGCAGTATTGGATGTGCTGTGGTCATCAAATCTTGTGGAAATCAAATATTCTTTTGAATTTAGACATAAATTATGGCCAGACAGGTGAAAGAATGGGACTATTTCTTCATTGCATCAACTTTTACTGTAAGTCATGCCTGTCTTTCATATAAACCTTATTATCAGAGTCTGTTTATGTGTTATATAAAATTACCCAAGGGAGGCAACTGTAAGCAAAATTCTTAGTTTTCTATTATTTTTAATGCTAATATAGCCATCAAGTGTTTATAATTAATTTATTAAATTATCGATTCTCAAAAGTCACCCAAAAGAGCAGAAATATACAGGATTACATAAGCATCCTCTGAACTTAAAAAGAATAAAAGGTGAAAAGTTGGTGCAGCTGGCACTATGAAATAAGTGTATAGCTCCTTATCATAAACAGAGATTAAAATGGGCCCAGTGTCACCTGGTAAAGTCATGCGCTTCTATTGGCATAGACCAGTCATTCACCACTTGGTATATGTTATAGTCAATACCATGTCTTCAAAGATATAAAGCTGTCGTGTGACCTTCTCTTTAATTCCATAGGACGCCATAACTAGGCCTCCAAGCTGTTTGTTATACCAGTCAGGGACCCCCACCTTGGATCAGGACAATTTGGATGAGGTTATTCAGTCATAAAATTCGTTTGACTGATCCTGCGCTAAAACCTAAAATTAGAAAAATACTCCTGGGAGAAGTCCCTCTTCTCCGGGCTATATTTTAAAGATAAGCATTTAGTACTGGCGTGATTCAATGTTATTAAAGTTGAATATTCCAAGATGTGATTACCTGAAAGAAATGATGTCTGTGTTGTTTGAGTGTGCTCTGGCCATCAGCATGGCTAGGTCATTGGCTTCCGAGCCACTGTTCATCAAGAAAACGACCTGGAGGGAAAAGGAAGACATGTGGCCTCATACTTTAATTTTTTCCTTATTATCCAATTAACTCAAAATTGGTAAATACTGTGTGTTCCAGCCTCTGATTATTAAGGAGAGATCCCTTCAGATCAGCAGCCCCATCATTTAATTGCTATATTAATTCTACAGCTCTTCATTCAGCAGCTGCTAAGCGCTAGAGATACAAAGATGGCTCAGGGATTGTCCCAGTTGTGAAACATTCTGGACTTTCATTGGCTTTACTTGATGCTCTGCAAAATGATGAGACGGGGAGACTTGCTGAGGTGGACACAGTGGTTAGTGGCTGAGTGGATCCGAGGATTGGGTCTCCTGGCTCCTGAACTTAAACCACCACACCTGATTCTGAAAGCTTGGGAGAAGGCGGGCTCCCTAATCCTGCAGCCCCAGAGGATAGCCCAGCCTGTCTGCTCAGTGCGTGTGTATGTTGAGAAAACAAGCAAGCAAACAAAAAATGCAGCTCATCCTCACCAAAAGAAAGGGGAGAACTGAAAGGTGCTGCTTTCTCCAGTCTCGGGGACTAGGAGGATGTGCTGTGTGCTCGATGACTTCCTTGCTTCTGCTCTTCTATGAACGTGCCTGGGCTGAACTTAGGTTGCAGCGATTCCAACTTTCTTCATCTCTTCTAGACTATATAGTAAAATAATAATAATAGCTAACACCACCTACCTAGCACTGTTCTAGGAACTACGTATTCATTAACTCATTGGATCCTGAAGTGCAAAGCTTGGCTAACATTTTAACATCTCAATTCAGTTAAAAAATTCAGTCATTTCAGATGCAAAAAACATCTCATTTAGCAAAAATATCTCAGTGCATGTTAGAACAAATCACTTGATGGTATATTAATTTTATAAGAAAATGGCTTCACTCTTTGTAAAAGAAGAAATGCGAATGGCTTTGCAGAGGAGCGATGGAGCAAAGAGATGAAAACCTCTTGAGGAACACAAAGGAGAGTGTCAGGAGGGCTGGGGCTCCTGCTAAGTGATTTCTGCAAAGACATAGTGGTGAGGAGAGCGACCCAGGAGAGGCAGAGGTTGGAGATGATGAACTGAACATTGTCTGGTTTCACTAGCAATTCATAAATCCCCTTTTCTCTTGATTGCTTTCAGATATGGCTATTAGCTCACTAATTTCAGATGGTCAATGTAGAGACCAAATTCCCTGCCAATAGTTCCACTTCCTACGACAGCTCCCCCGGGGTGGTGAGACTCCTGACCCTTTGAGCTGGGAGTGTCATACCTTTAGAGGCTCAGGAAGAAGCGCGGATAGCTTCTCTGCGTATTCGTGGATGGGAGGGTTGAAGAAGACGGGACTTGTGTGCCACAGGCGGCCAAGCTGCTTTTGTGCCGCTGCGTTTACCTTCCTGGATAAACAGGAGATCAGAGTTACCCACACTGCCAGCGGGCATGTCCCTCCGAACACACACACTGGACATTGAACTCAAACATACGGCTGTTTCACAAAGAGTTTCAAGAGGCTGATTTCATCCACACACGAGAAAGAGCTTCTCTAACAACTAGTGGAGTCTGGCAATGGGATGCGTTGCCTCAAAAGGGAATGAATTCCTCACCCAGAGAAGTGTTCAAAAAGAGACTAAATAATTGTCTGTTACGGATTTCAGAAAAGAAGTTACTAGTTTAGAAAGGAGTTTGAACTTAGAATTTCTTCTAACTAGACTTTCTCACTAACTACTCTTTAAACAGTTTGGAAAATAGAGATGACGTTGTAAGCCTGAGTGTCTTTCCATTTTATGCTTCCAGAGAATTATAGATCCATTAAGCACATGTATACAGATCAACAGTTTTTCCTTCAAAGGAGATTCCAATATCTGGGTCTTATTAGTGATCGGTATGCATGAATATTTTGTAACTATGAAACCACATTCCGTGAAGGATCAGAAGGTTGATGTTGAGGGATAGTAGGAGCTAAGAATAGATAGATATGTGGGACCTGACTTGGAATGCCTTGAAAAGATAGGCCAAGGTGTTTGAACTTGATCTAAAGGACAGCAATTGCTCAAGTTGGTTACACACCAGTTCTGTTTGTTATTAATGACTGTCACACCCAAAAAGTCAGTTCAGTGGTTAAATGATTTTTGAGAAATACCAGGTCAAAGAGATTTCTTTACTGCAGGACTTGTCAGTACTTTTAATAGGCTAATGTGCAATGTTTCTCCCCAGGAGGGAGATACAGCTTAAAGTGTTTTCCAATCTTATTTTCTTGTGAGACCCTTAACCAACGAACTTCTCCTGTGATCAGTCTTCCATGGAACTCACTTATCAATAAATTGTTAAACAGAAGAGACACTTGACAAGAGCATTGTTTAGCAAAATAAGTCTGAGAGCCACATGAAGGGTAGAATGGAGAAGGGAAGACCGGTAACAGTGAGGCCAGCTAGAAGGGCACGGTAGCCTTCCAGGGGTGGGAGGAAAAGAAGCTCCTAGGAGAGTGGTGTTGGTGGGAATTAGTGAGAGGGGCTAGCAGGGGAGGCATTTCAGTGGGAGGAAAGCTAGACCTTGGTATCAGATTGGTTACAGGGAATGAAAGGTAAGGAAGAGTCAAAGATGACTTCAACATTCTTGCCTGTAACATTGGGGAAATCCCAGGATTAGTTGAGAAACACAGTCAGTCATCTAGCTATCCACCTCCTAGAAGAGGACTTTCACGGAGTAAGTGGCTCATAAGTGCTCCTTGAATAAATGAATATGTGAGTAGAAATGGAATTTGGAGAGCATGATAGATTTGGTCTTGGTAATGTTGAATTTCAGCTGGTGGTGGGCTATCACAGGGCAGTGGGGGGATGTCCTGGAGGCTGTGGGAAATATGGGGCACCTGTGCTCACTCTGGGTTTATTAGAGTTATTATCATAGAGTGGTGAGGAGCCAAGTCTGAAAAAATAGAGTTAGGGAAGGCTGCTGAAAATGTAGCAACTAAATGACCAGAGGTGGGGAGACGGGGTGCCACTGATTCTATGGGGGAAATAATAAGGGAGTGTAGAGAGAAGAGCAGAGCATTAAGGAAAGAGCCTGAGATACCCAGAGTTAGGGGTCAGAGGTACAAGTTGAAGGGCCAGAGGGAGATCAGGAGAAGCACAAAGGTCATGGAAGCCAGTGAGAGCAGTTCATTAACAGGGACAATGTTGGATATTATTGGAAGGATTCAATGAGAATGGTTAAAATTTTTCTCAACTTCATTTTTCTTTACTTCTTTCATGTGTGTTTATCCTATTTTTTTTTGTTTGTGTGTGTGAGGAAGATTAGCCCTGAGCTAACATCCAATACCAATCCTCCTCTTTTTGCCGAGGAAGATTAGCCCTGGGCTAACATCCGTGCCCATCTTCCTCTGCTTTATGTGGAACCCGGCCACAACGTGGCTTGACAAGTGGTGTGTCAGTGTGCGCCCAGGATCTGAACCTGTGAACACTCAGGCTGCTGAAGCAGAGCATGTGCACTTAACCACTACGCCGGCAGGCCAGCCCCATTTTTTTTGTTTTTGTAGTGTTTATTTTTTTGGTGAGGAACCCTGAGCTAACACCTGTTGCCAATCTTCCTCTATTTTGTATGTGGGTCGCTGCCACAGCATGGCTTGATGAGTGGTGTAGGTCTGCGCCTGGGATCTGAACCTGGGAACTCCAGGCCCCTGAAGCAGAGCACGCTGAACTTAACCACTGTGCCACTGGGCCAGCCCCTAGCCTATGTTTTAAATTGCACTTGAAATTTATTTTGCATGCTCCTTGGGACCTCAAATAGGACTAGTGCCTCCTGAAGACAGAAACGGGAAGGAGAAGGCTATGGGAGCAGAAGGTGAGGGCAGACTCTAGAATTCCAACTCACTCCTCACTGCCTGACAGTTGCTAGCAAAAAAGACCTTTTGCCCCTACTTTGACAGAAGGGCCCAAACCTCTTCAAATTATTTAGACTTACTGCTTTATTTTTGTCCCACTTAATGTGAGTTTTATTGACAAGATTATTAAAGGCAAGTGAGAATAGACATTAAAATGAGATGGCTGCATGGAAACCAAAAGGACCACAGAAAGACCCGCTGGGGATATGTATTTGTGTGTGTGGATTGATGATCAAGGTTGCAGGGAATCTCAAGTTTAATGGAGCCGCACATTTCCAATGTAAATTTCCAGCTATGGTTCCATCTTTCTCTTATCACTCTTTCTTTCCTCATCCATCACTCAGAGTTGAGGAAGACCTTCAGGCCAGGAATGACTTCTCATCTCTCATCGTCCGTACCCAAACACCTGTCCTCGTGTTCTCTGAGGACTGCCTGCCTTTCTCTTCCTTCTGCCTCTCTCTTCCTTCTGCCTCTCTCTTCCTTCTGCCTTTTCCTCAGTGCATTCCCTCTCTTTGGAAAGCTGTTACCAGTGCAGAGAAACACACACACAGCAACACTCCAATCACATGGTTCACGCCACATTGCATGTGCAGTGAGAATGACTAAATCTTGAATTGTCAAGAAAATAAAAAGTACAATGTTAAGATTTTTTTGTTACCCAAGAAATAGCAGAGAACATGTCAGCCATAAACCGGGATGTGCCTAAGGAGACAGAATTTTATTAAACAAGGTTCTGAATCACTAACATGATCATTAGCCTGTTTCCCGCATATTCCTCTGGAGTGAAAGCCCCGGAATTTTAAGGATACTTACGGGTGGCAGTGACCAACACTGATAGTGACAATCCCAGAAAAGAAATCCAGGTATCTGTTTCCCTCATGATCAAATAGCCACTCCATGTGACCCTGGTGGAGCAACAAAGGCTCCTGAAAATACGCCGTCAGCACAGGAGAAAGATGTTGCTTGTTGATCTCCAGGACACGGTTATAGGCAAGGGACTGTAGATAGGCAAGATTTAAGTATTTAAAATCTTCCTTTGCCTCATCTCCACATTTCTTACAAGATCAACAGCAGGTCAGTATGGCCGTGCCTCGCCTCTCTACTGACCCAGCATAGAGCTGCTGCCTACGCTTATGGCAGGAGTATTTGCTCAATGTCCTCCTCGCGGGACACCAAGGCCCTTGCTCTCAAGTAGAGGAAATGATTAATGTGGCCCTTCAATCCCTTTCTAGATCAAACATGAAGAAAGGGGCTGAAATTTCCACCTCTCAATGAAAAGCCTTGGCTTTGAGTTGATTTTAGCTGTGGGGGGAAAAAAAACACTTTGGAAGTAAATGTCTGAAGTAATGTCTGCTTTGTTTTTTTGAGAATAAAAAAATGAAGTGCTGGTGGTGTTCGTGTCTTTAATTATCAAACCTCTGTCCTATACTTCTCTTCTTTGTGGGTCCCTCCTGACTATTTATTGATTCTGCAGTTTCTAACCTATGAGTATTATGTAGAGTAAAGGAGTTGGAGAGAGAGACAGAGGGAGATTGAGAACCCAATCTTTACTAGCCTGAGAGCAAAATGATAACTTTATATTTTTTGGTGGAGGACTCAGGAGGGTCAGATCATGTGTTGCTATATGAGACAGTCAAAATCAGAACAACATTTTCAAAAGCAAATGTGTGCCATCCCATTTGTGATATATGTGTTTGTGTGTGTGTATATCTATATCTATATTGCTGTGATACATATATTGTCATGAGTAGTCGCTTTCTTGTACTCTCTGTGTCTCTCTGTCTCTGTCTCTGTCTCTGCCTCTGCCTCTGTATCTCTCTCACACATATGCACACCAATTCATACAATAGTATTGAATAGAGTAAGAGGGTTCAGATGCTCCCAAGGACTTGAATGAGAAAATATCTGGGATGGGATGGCTCAGTGGCAGGCAGGGCTATTTGTGGGTCCTTCTTGAGGAAACAATTTAGCACTTTTAAGAAGAACCACTTCTTTTGGGTTTTCCTAAAGTTCTGACACTTACCTGGTATCTTTCAGGTGTGAAGTCACACGGAGGCATTGTGGGTTTTGTGTGAAGACCAAGCTTGGTTACAGACATCCAGAAAGCCCCTAGGAAAAGTGAAGTGAGTTAGGATCCTCAAGTAAACATCACACAGGCACGTTTGTATAAATCACCCATAGTTAACCTGAATCAAGGTCCTTAGGCAATTTTATTAGTTAAAAAAATCATTTAAATCAGCCTTTAGTTTGGATTTAAAAACTGGAGTATCTCGAAAATTAATTTTCTGGAGAAAAAAAAGATAGTTCTTGTTGAATCTAGTCGGGAAAGGCATAGAGGATGTTGAGGGAAGTCATGGTTTCTCATGCCAAAGTCCTTCACAAGCTTGGGAAGCTCCTCCCCCATCCCCCATGTTAACGACAATTCTCTTTTCAGTTGACTAAACTTCTGCCAGTGCAGTGTGTTGCTGGAATATCTCCTCTTTGTTAATAGAGGTGCTTTCAAGGCATTGAGCTGCCTAGTGCCTGAATCCCAGTGTCTATCCCAGTTCCTGGTACTGGGTTGGCTCTCAATAAACGAGGAATGAATGGCCGTTGACTATTCTTGTAGGGAATGAGGAGAGTTACTAGGCAATGTACTATATTAACAAATACGTGCAAATCGATCTGGTAGAAAAAACCTTCTTCCAAACACAGCAACACAGGGCCTGCCCCATGGTGTACTGGTTAAGTTCGACGCACTCAGCTTCGGCAGCTCGGGTTTGTGGGTTCGGATCCCAGACATGGACCTATACCAGTCGTCAGCCATGCTGTGGCAGCAACCCACAAACAAAATAGAGGAAGATTGACACAGATGTTAGCTCAGGGCCAATCTTCCCCAAGCAAAAAAAGAGGAAAATTGGCAACAGACGTTAGCACAGGGTGAATCTTCCTCAGCAAACAAACAAACAAACAAAAAACAACACAGCAACACAAAGACCAAGAAAACACAAGACCACGACAAAGCAAAGATACACTAAGCCAGAGGAATCATTATTTGGAGTTGGAAGGGACCTTAGAATTTTTTTTTTTTTGTCAAAATGCTCATTTTATAGATGAGAAAGCCAGCCTAAAGTGGTAAATTAAATTGTGGAAGGTTACTAAGCTAGTTAGCTGCAGAACAAGAGCGAAACTCCAAGTTTCTGACTCCTAGCCTAGTATCTTTCGCTTATTCATTGCCACCTTCCTCCTCCCCTTCCAGCACAGATTTTGACCTCTCAGTGGGATGAATAATGGAATCAAAGAATATCAGAGCTGGCAGAGATGTCTAGACACCTTATAAGTACTCTTGGAAAACAATGCTGCTGATTTTGAAGATTAAAGGTCAGTGTTGAGATAATTTTACAGGTGGAGAGAGCTGAGGAAATGACGTCTCTTATTCAGCATGAAGATTTGAATCCCTGGATGAAATGCTGGTGTTTTGTGTGGCCATGGAGTCAGAGTCCCGAGAAACACAATGAACAATTATGATTTTAAATGAAGCTGGAAACTAACAGCTCTGAATATATTTTCTTTCAAAGAGATATTCACTTTTCTGCTCTAAATAATCACTAATGTCATTAATTTGCTTTTACTTTAAAAGCAAGTGGCTTTTGGCTCTCCACGCATAGAAATGACAAAAAAATGATAGCTTAAGTTTTCTGAGAATTTCACCTTCTGAAAATCTTTTCATTGTGTCTCTCTACATTAGTTGCTCTTCTGAGAGGGGAAAAAAAATTCTGAGTGTTTCTAAGAATTCAAATTCCCTTTATTCTTCAGTCTCACTTTCCACTCTGCAAAATTGGAGTTGCCCATTGAGGAGGCTGTGAGGTCTCTTGACTCCAAGGTTATAGGAACTATGAGAGTAGGCTGGAGGGGGAAGAGAGTTGGAGAGAAAGATTTGATAAAGAAAAGCCTGAATTTTAAGCCAATGAGGCAGGTTTATTCATTCATTCATTCATCAAACTGATAGAAATATGATGGTGGAATGAGGGCTTCAAATGGGATACAAAAAATCTTGTCCTCAGGAAGGAAGGAATAAAGATGGATAGCAAGCAAGTGGGAAAATTAGGCAATAAGTGAAATAAATCTAGATAACATTTCAAAAGTCTATTGCCTTTCATACCTCCCCTCTCACTAAACAATCCACTCAAAAATAATAGTAATAATAATAATAATTGATGGACAAAAAGAAACAGAAGTCCCCTGGTTTTCATCATTTACCAGAATTGCTTTCATTCTTTATTCAAAATAGCCTATGTTTTGAGGACAACATAAGAGTTGGGGGTTAATAAAGCTTCTCTTGGGTTCTTGGAAATTGTGTGTGGGCATGTGTGCACATGACTGTTTGATTGTGCATGCACAGGGGCTATATGTGCATGGGAGGAAGATAGGGACAAGAGAAGTCAGGGAAGGGATAACAGGGATCTGGATTAATAAAACTGAATCCCAGGTCTATTTCTGTAGAGGAATTTTTTTTGTTTCTTTTTTTTATCATTTTAACTAGTCTGATGTTGCCTTTTTAGGCCTGATGCCAAACAGACGACAGCTAATGATTGCATCCAATTCACCAATTTCCACTTCAATTCACCTGGACAACTCAAGACATTTAAAGATGGCATTCAATTTGGAGAACACCACCACCCTTGTATAATAAGTGCCAAGTGGATAACTGGGTTTGATTTTCCAGCTGCCTAATTCTCATAGAGTTTTATAGCAGACAAGTCACCTTAACTTTGTTTTCTTCCCCCAAAATTATAGTATCAAAAAGTGAAAATATGTTGGGCAAGTTAAGTGAGAAAAATTAATTTTTGTGGGCATTTAAAAATTCCAGGAGAAATTCTCTTTGTACTGGTAAAGATTTTTCTAACACCCAGGACTAGCTTTCAGCACAGAGAAAGTGTTCATCAAGGGCTTCCTTATTCTTTCAAATTAAAAATAAGTTGTAAAATATTTGAAAACACATAATGGACACAGTTGATAGAACATTAAAGTGATTTATTAAAATGCTAATTATGCTTTATTTCTGCATAGCATTTTACTTAACTTAAAAAGAATTGTCACAGGGCCAGCCCTGGTGGCCTAGCAATTAAGTTCCCTGTGCTCTGCTTCCGCGGCCCAGGTTTAGTTCCTGGGCGCCAGACCTACATGGCTCTGTTAGTAGCCATGCTGTGCTGGCGGCCCACATACACTTGTCACTTTGGGTATCTCGTTTAATAAATCAGATAGCCAATGAGTTAGGAAAGGAAGATTTTATCATTCAACTTAGAGCAGAGGCAATGACGATTAAATGTGAGGTATTTGGAGTTTTGAGGGCCCCCCAAGGGTTTAGGGCTTGAGATGCCTCCTCCCATGGAGGCCTGTTGAGACTAAGCTGAGGTCTGGATAAGTGAGGGGCAGTGGTTGGTTGGGGAGAAATTCTTTCCCATCTGTTTCCCATTGAGTCGGAGCTCCCAGACTGGAGAGTAGATCTTTCTCCCTTCATAAACTGTTCTTCAGTCCGTCGGAAGTTATGGAGGACAGTCGTCATTGCTATTGAGTGTCATCTAATCCCCCCACCATGATCAATAGCACCCTAATCTCTCTGTGGGGAACTGCCTCTGCCAAACTGTGTGCTTTGAGGTATAGGGTAATAATACCAGGTGGCTGCCTTCTACTGGGGAAACCAAGGGATGGGTGTGAGATCTCTGGTGGGTGAATGAGATGTCCTCTCTTTAGGACTTGAGGTCTTGAGCAAATGACCAGGATGGAAAGAATAGCTGGAGGCCCTCATCAGAGCCATGACATGCTTATGAGGCTGTTCCTGCCAGGAGTTACTGCTACTCCTGCGGGACTTTCCCCGGCTTCTCTTCGTGCCCAATCCTGCCCACCTCCTCCCTTTCTTGTTGATTCTTTCAGCTCCTTCCCTCCCTCCATCTCCCTCCAATAAATGCTCTTTTGCTTAAGTAAAGCAAGGTTGGTTGCTGTGGTCCACAAGTGAGAGCTCTGCCTGATTCCGGGGCTAGTGAGGCCATGCTTCCTTTTGGCGCTTTTGGGAGCAGGCCTTCTCTGAGGCCACCCTCCTGGCCCTTTGCAGGGTCACATCACTCCTGCAGACCGCAGTGAGGACTGCTTGGTGGTGCAGGTGGGAGACGGCCCTTTAGGGCTAAGTTTGATTTTTTCTGAGAAAAGGAGTTGTATGAGTCTTGGGAAGTTTCTCAGCTGGAAATAAGCATTATTTGCCAACCGTTTGCCCTCCTTGTGGGAGTGAAGGCAGATGATTGGAAAGTGGTACTTTTAAGCACATACCCCACCTCCCGGGAAAGGTTATACATTTAATAATTGTTAGCTAATTAGTAAGACAGAAGGCACTGCTGAGATATTTTCTCCACTCTTTTATACTGAGAACAAATTGCTTCTATAACTTTGTGTACATATTTAGCCCAAAGGGATTGTGTATGTCAAACATAGGCAAGGCTGAATCCTTTGCACACACATATATTATCCAGTATATGTAGGTGTTATACAAGGATTGGGGTGTATTTATTTTTGTGTATCTGACAACACTTAACACCAGGTGATCTCCCTATCTAACACAGTCCCTCCCCACACCCCCATTTTATTTTTCTATCCCCTCACCCTGATTTGGTTTTATTCATGGCATGCATCTCTACTGAATGTTTTTTACATATTTACTTGTGTATCTGTTCAGTCTCAGTCTCCCCCACTGGGATACATAGGGGCAGGGGTTCTGTTTTGCTCACTGTGGCTCTGTCTGTGGTACAGGTGCATAGTAGGTGCTCAGATACTTTTGATTGAATGTATAGTTTGCACACAGTGGTTCTTAAGAAAGCTGTGTTCAGTAAGTGTGTGTTTGAATGAACTAACACAAGCAGGCATATATCTAGGTACAGTAGGTAAGAAAGTAGAGGGGCTGGCCCGGTGGTGCAAGCGGTTAAGTGCGTGCTTTGCTGCGGTGGCCCGGGGTTTGTCAGTTCAGATCCTGGGCGTGCACCAAAGAGCCGCTTGTCAGGCCATGCTGTGGCAGGCGTCCCGTATAAAGTGGCAGAAGATGGGCATGGATGTTAGCCCAGGGCCGGTCTTCCTCAGCAAAAAGAGGAGGATTGGCAGATGTTAGCTCAGGGCAGATCTTCCTCACAAAAAAAAAAAAAAAAAAAGTAGAAATAAAGCCCCACAGGCTTTTGAAAGGCTAGGTCAAGAGTGTGACGTTCATGTCTTCATGGCATGGGTTTGCAAGATTACTTCTCCTCCGAGGTTTCCTTGGTGGAGCTACGTTAAGGAGTCCCCAGTGAGTTGATCAAGATCTCTAGGCATCAAGCCTCACCTCCCATTTCTAAGACACTTGCTACCACCATCAGCCCAGCTCCACAACCATGAGGGGTTAGGGTAGGAAAGGAGAAGGGGGTGGCAGAGAGGGCATTTTCTCTTGCTTTGTCAACAACTGTATAGTGTCCTCTTTACTGAGCATGAGATCCTGAGTATAATTCTAGCTAGCTCCTTCTCAGAAATGGTTAAATGGTGTTCTGGCAAAAGACCCAAGATGGAGGGAAAAGAGAAATCCAACAGGATTGGAAGAAGAGTGGGTAAGAGAGGGCCTGGTGGAATCACTCTGACTTTGAAGTCAGACAGACCTGGCTTTGAACCCCAAGTTGTCACTTCTATGTTTCTGCCTTTGGCCAAATTTCTTAATTATACTTTATTCTTCTGTCTCCTCATCTGTGAAGTGGAATAATAATACTCACTAACAAATTCAGTTGAAGATGAAGGGAGATAATCATTTAAAGACATGTATTAAATTTCAAAGAATTGAAATTGTCAGCAGGATAAAAGACAAATATGAGAGAAAGGAAGGAAAGAGGTAAAAGAAAGATGAGAAGAAAACGAAGATAAAATTAATCATAATGGGCAACGGAAAAGGGTTTCCTAGAGGGCCTGTGGGGCACAGGGTCCCACTATGGTGCATAAGCGTGCAGACAGCTACTTATGCTCGTGTTTGCATGAGGGAAATTGGTGATGACTGAAACAAGATACATGTGAAAATCGCAGGCGCCTGGGATGTAATACACAAAGCCACCACTGGCTGCCCCTTCTGCCCTCCTCCCCACCAGTCTCCTCGCATAGTCTGTTCCTGCTGGAGAGAGAGGAGAGTCTGAGTGGAGGAAGAGGGCTCAGGGTCTAGTCCTGGCTTCTTGGGTGTCTCTGGGGAAATGACTGTACTTCTCTCAGTTTCCTTGTCGGTAATTGAGGGGATGGTACCACCTTCTGGGGGCGTGGTGGAAATTTGTAAGGATGCTTTATGTCTTTTAAAGTAGTCATCCTTGAGTATCTATACATTGAAGTTAATACTTTATTTTGAGTGGCTTTCTTTTTAATTCTTCTTTATATTACAGCTAAGATATCACATTGTTTTTATTTTGAAACTGTATAGTCAGGTTTTATTACCCATGAATTTCATTTCAGGACAAAAGGATGAATTAGGAAATATTGGACATGAGAGGAGGGCGTTGGATCTGACAGGGTGAGAACCGCTGTGTTAGATGACCTGTCTCTAAGACCCATCTAGGTCAAACATTCCAGAATTCCAGGCAACAGTCTCCAGAGCTCAGCCCTTTGCCTCTCGCTGACCCTCTGTTGACCCACATGCCCCTGGTTTCCACTCACGGCTCAAGGAAAGGCGCATCTTGGGGATCCTGGGACAGGAGGTCTCCAGGCACAAAGCTCTCAGCAAATGTCTCCAGGCTGGAGTCATCTCTCCCAGGCAGGAAGCAAATCCCTGTGGGAGCAGATCAGAGGAAGGGCTCCAACTGATTGCCAAAAGGCTGGACTTTGAGATTAAAATGGAAGGGGAGGAGCTCTAGAGGAGAGTCCTGGAGTGGTTACTGCCGCCACTTCCAACAAGCCCAGAGCTTCCAGTGCCTTAAGGGAACAGAAAGAGAAAGGGAGCGGGGGAGGAGGAAGGAGGAGAGAGGGAGAGAGAAAAGAGAAAGAAGGCAGTCAGGCAAAGCAAAAGCCTTCTGGATTAGTTTTGTTACTTTTGTGTTCCATCAGCATCACATCAGGGTGGGCTTCTCTCTGCAGGAGGGAGGTGATGAGTGTGGGAGAAGGGTCAAGATATAGTTGAAAGATCAGAGGTTGAGAGAAGAGGGGTGGGAGTAAGAGAGAGAGAAGGAGGATATGCATGAACTGAATGGATAAAGAAATTGGTACTGGTTTTGGGAGTCTTAGAGAAAGAGAAGAGGGACTAATGGGGAAGGTGGTACTCCATGGGGAAAAAGAAGGGGCACCAAATAGCTAGGGAAGGCTCTGGACAGCAGTGCATTCCTTTGGGTGTCCCCATAGGACAAGAGGTTGAGAGCTGAGGAGTTAGGGTGCTTTATTTTTATTATATTTTAATTTCCTAAATTCCCGTTTGTCACTCCTGCCTCCCCCGACCTGTAATTGCCATAGGTAACTATTTAGTGTGTTTAATATATATCTTTTTGTTGGTATGTATTCGTGTAAAATGTATATTATTTGGAGTGAGTGCATTTTTAATTAAATGGTAATTAATTATATGGTAAATAGATGTCCTTTTTTCCTTTTCTTCGTTAGAGCCATGTTTTTAAGATTCGTCCAGGTTGCTATGAATACACCCCTTCCAGGTTTCCAACTGCTGCAGAGCTGAAGTCAATGTGCCCTTGCATGGCAGTGCCTAAGGGGGCCAGTGACAAAGGCATTTGGACCTAGGGGGTAAGGGGGTAGGGATGGGTGAACACCATACAAGGTGGACTTCTTGTATTACCCTGCAGGGAGGACAATTGGTGTGGTCACATCCTCTGCCAACATCTGGGAAACAACATTTTACCCCAAATGCCCACAGGAGGCAAGGGCACCAGGTAAGCACAGAGAGTGTTTTAAATTTGATGTAAATTGTCCTCTTTTTTGTGGGCTCCAAGCTTCCAACCCATTCTGCTTTAGGGACTGTAGGGAGGGGTTATGTGATCTGGCTAGTCAATTGCTATGGGAATGACCCATGTCAGCGAGGCCAGTGGCAACACAGCCTCATCCTGGGGTGCCCAATCTGTCATGCTGTTGGATGATGTGAGAAAATGTTGAGTTCCTGAGGTCTGGTGTATGTCCTTCAACTCCACTGGGCAGTGATCAATTTTGGCTTTGTGAACACTTCGGGCTGCAAGCTTCTTTGACTTGAGATTTTTCTTGGGCTGTAAGTTTAGAGATGCTTATGGTGAGAGGCACCCAGCAACATCAGGGGCTGCCTGGGGAGGGGAAGTAAAACGCTGCGTTATGAATAGCTTCAAAGTGAGAAGCTGTGTCTCCTTTATTTAAAAGGAAAAACATTTATCCTGATTATCATAATACAATATACACTTTTTGTTAAAACACACTCAAGCCTAGAAAAGCATATGGAAGAAAATAGAAATCACAACAAATCTGACCATTACATTTTAGTAAAGACTCTTTCAGAAATCTATTTTTACATATGTTTATTTGTGTTTATATGTGTCATTTAAAAAACTGCATATAGTCAATAATATAGCTTTTCATGTAAAAATGTAGCTTTTTATGCAAAAAAAATATAGATCTGAGTCATCTTTTCTAATTCTTTCATAATATTCCATTATATATGTTACTTAATTTTGGAAAGTTCTTGGCCATTATTACTTCAAATATTTCTGCTCTGTTTTTTCTTCTCCCTCTGGTATTCAGTTACACATATATTACGTCTTTTAAAATTGTTCATAGCTCTTGGAGGTTCTGTTATGTGTTTTTCCCACTCTTTTTATCTCATTGCATTTTAGTTTGTGAAGTTTCTATTACCTGTCTTCAAGCTCACTGATTCTTTCCTAAGCTGTGTCCAGTATAATGATGAGTCCATCAAAGACAGTCTTCATTTCCATTATAGTGTTTGGATGTCTAGCACTTCCTTTGGATTCTTTCTTAGAGTTTCCATCTCTCTGCTTACATTACCCGTTTGGTATTACATAATGTCTACTTTTTCCAGTAGAGTCCTTAACAATAATCATAGTTATTTTAAATTGTCTGATGATTCCAATATCTGAGTTTGGTTTTGATGCTTGCTTTGTCTCTTCAGATTGTGTGTATTTTTTCCTATCATTTTAACATCCCTTGCAACCTTTTGATGAAAGCTGGCCATGAAGCATTGGGTAACAGGACCTGAGGTAAATAAGCCTTCGGTATAAGGTTTTATGTTAATCTGGTTAGGGGGTAGGATGTGCTTAATGTTTGCTGTAGCTGTAGGTGTCAGAGGATTCAAATTCCTCTAGCGTCCTTGTTTTTGTGTCCCCTGTCTTTTTAGGGCTTCTCTAAGAACTTGTTCTTATCAGGGTCTGGCAGCTCTTTCAGCTGTAATTTGTTTTATTTTGCTAGAGTCCTAAAATCTTATGATTAGATCTCAGTCTTTTAGTGAGCCTGTGTCTCTGGACTGTGACCTTCACAAGCGTTTCTCCAATAGTGTAACTTAAAAAATAATTCCCAAACTCCCTTCTTTGGCTGCAATTTTTCCAATCTGTTTCTTTGAAGCCCTTATCGCTGTTGACTACATTCTTTTTTTTCTCCCTTAGATAGGACACGAAAGCTAGAGGGGGCTGGGAGGGGAGGAATGTCATTTACACATTGATGTAGGGCTCTGGCAAAGTCATTTACCCTGGAGAATAGATTTTTGTTAAAGTGAAGGCTCTGAGCATATTTCACAGTGATTATGCTTCCACTCCGCCAGCCAGAGCAGCAAAGGGATCTTCACCTTGGAAACCTGGCGGCATTCCTGTAGGTACAACCCATAAGAGTTCGAGATCCTCCTAAGACTGTGGCAACCAGGGAGTTTCTCATTCTCACACTAGTCCACACTCAGTGTCCACAATTTGTCAAAATTACCATTTAAGTGTTCCTACCAGTTATGGCTCTGGTGGCTTCCACTCCAGGTTAAGCAGGTCTTGGTTGTGACTCTCAGGGTGTGCCTGTGTCTCTAGATTTTAGAGTGACAATTCACTCTGCAACCTCACTTCTCTGATGGATTCAAGAAAAGTCATTGGTTTTCAGTTTGTCCAACTTCATCTTGTTGTAAGAATGGGAGTGACAACTTCCAAGCTTTTTGCACGTTTGAGATGAAGATGGAAGTCTCCATATGTTTTATTTACTAAGTCTCTGCTGATGAACAGCTATATATTCTCCAGCATCCTAGGACATAGAATTTTGTGCGCTTGACTAATTATGTTTTTCTTTGGGTAAATTCCTTGAAGAGGGATTTCTAAGTCAAAATGTATGTACATTTTAAATGTACTCCAGTAAGGCAGCATCAATTTATAAATCAATTAACATTGCATAAAACTGTTTTCCAAGATGCTGGGTCTTTTGACCTCTTTGGAATTACCATGATATCCACTGAATCCGAAAACTGGATGAGGAGGACACTTAGATTTCCTCCAGATCTTCATCCTCAATCTAGGAGTCATCTGAAGTATCAATCAAGATCTTACCCTAGGTTCACAGATAACATTCCTGTTAAACAGATGTTATTGCTCAGGTATAAGGGACTTTAAGAGACATCTGCTCTGGGTCTTTTTCTTCTTTCTCTTTCAAGCAGATCATGTATAATTTTCTCCATTTTACATAAGACCATAGAAGATGAGGAGCTACTCCAGTTTACAGGACTGGTAAATAGGAGGGGCAGGACATCAGTCTCTTGCCATCTCTATTTCCCAGATAATGAATTACTTTGAACATACAGAATGTAACTCATCAGGTAGGGAAATGTTGGAATTTCTCCTTGAAAAAGATAATTGGCAAATGGAGAAACATGGAAATCCTGGTTGTCTCATTAATAATTATAAGGGGAGGTATTTTTGTACACAGGTTTGTCAATGATTTATCAGTTAAGTCCTGAGTGTAACTGGACTTTGCTCTTTGCCCCCAGTCATTCTGCCAATAACAGAGCAGGGTCCCGCAAGAGTTACTGAGGATAAATAACAGCTTTTCCAAAATGATCCTTTCCCTTTCCTAACTCATTTAGAAGTTGTGGAATTGAAGGAAAGGGAAAAATTTTGGAAGGATTTCAGATGAAACTCAGTTTACATAAACCTCATATTACAGATATTCCATTTCACAGAGAATGACTATGAAGGATGGCGTGTGTGGGGTGTTCAGACTGAGATGCAAGAGGATGGAAGCATGGACATGAGTCTCAGATACTATAACCCTTAGAGTTTCATGCAGTCCTGATTTTCTTGAAAAGTGGTGCAAAGTCCTTTCCTTTTGTTTATTAGCACTAACTCTTTGGACGAGGCTCATTAGGAATTATTGGACTCAATATTTTTAAAAAGTCAGTCTGGTAAGACCTAGGGACACAGGGGCTACCTCAGCCTTCTCACTAGACTGTAACTCCCAGGAGGGCGGAGAGCATGTCCATAATGCTTACTGTATCCTAGCCCAGTGCTTGTCACACAATGCTGGTCAAGTGTGGTTCAATAGTGAATACGGTCAAATGACTGACAGATAACTTAATTGAGGAAGATTTGTATTTGAAAGGAAGTCTTGAACATCCAAATCAATCTCTTTTTGGTAGAATGTATGGCAGAAAGATTTCAGTGCAATGGCCCCTCTCTTAGCAGTTGGATTTCTCCATTTATTCTTCCCTTAAACTTCAAAACCAAAGCGCACTGTCTCTTCCGATCACGGCCGGATGAGATTCATTGGAATTTGGCTCACTATGACCAGGGTTGTTCCTCCCAGACAGGAGAAGAGCTGCCCCCAAACTTGGGCCCTCAGATATAGTAAATTATCTGAGCAGGACCTTTCATTATATCCTGTTCC